TAGATGGGGAAGTCTGGTTGTCCTGTGTAGAAATGGGCGTAAGGTCACACATGCACCTTAAGGAAACCTGCCCATACACATGTTGTATGTTATGCAGATGAGGCGTGTGCTCCTCCTTGGGCTGAGGTTTAGTACTAAATGGGGTAAGGAAATGGGGTAAAGGTAGTCATCCCTCTATCCTAGAGGTAACTCTGTGGTCCATCTCTTCAGGCAGAAGTGGGAAGTTGAGATCACACTGGTCTGGGTGGCCTGGGCCAGCTGGAGGTCTTGTCACGGCAGGCACTATTGCTGGAGGGGCAGTTCTGCTTTCCCTTGGCTTGACTTAAGAGATAAGGGGGAAAGAAGAGCTGAAGAAAAAATGTGGGACAGAGGTGGGGGAACATAAGCAAGTGGGCCATAAAGGTCAGGTCTTGGGGTCTAGCTGGTGACATATTCACCCAAATAGCTGAACATGGATGAAGAAAAAGCACAAATCCCAGAGGCTTGCATTGAAATTTACAGCCACAAATCCCAAACTAAACTACCTGACAACCAAAATTAATGACTCTATAGTAAATTTGTTTTCTTGTTCTCTTTTCCATTCTCCCCACTTTTGCCCTCTTTCCTTAAACTTCCAGTATTCCTTGCTGTTTGCCGCTGGTGACTTTATTTTGCCATCAAAATAAGTGCAGGAGATTTAGACTAATCTTCTCATCACCAAATCTAACTTCTGCTCTATATGCAGATACTTTGTTCTGCCTTTTCTAACACTACATAGGCTGTCACTTTTTGTCCAAGACCAGATTTTCCATTTATACATTGATCCTATCTCCTCTTTATCTACCCAAGGACTTTGCTTCAGTAGTTATCCTCTCTTCCTCTACCCTGATAAATAGTTATCTTTTTCTTAGATTATTCTTAGCATAAACAAATATATTTTATTGTCTTATTTTCAGATGAAAACCAAAAGACCTAGCTTTGAATCTTGCTACTCTCCCATTTCTGTAATCCCCCATCTAGGAAAATTCATTTATAGAATTCACTATAAAAATCATCAGGGCGCCTGGGTGGCTCAGTGGGTTAAGCCTCTGCCTTCGGCTCAGGTCATGATTCCAGGGTCCTGGGATCGAGCTCCACATGGGGCTCTCTGCTTGGCAGGGAGCCTGCTTCCCCACCTCTGTCTGCCTGTCTCTATGCCTACTTATGATGTCTCTCTGCCAAATAAATGAATAAAATCTTTAAAAAATCATCAGAGAAGACTTAAGAGTAATGTTGCAGATAGCCTGTGGAGGAACCACCCAGTTTAAGGAAGAAAACATTATCAATTCAGTTGAATGCCCCTGTGAATCTTCCCCAATGGACTTCCCTCCCTATTCACCAATGTCACATGCCTTTCTAATGTAGTTACGTGTTATCTCCAGCCCATTGCACTGAGATTTTACTGGTCAAAGTCGCTCACCCTTGACTTCCAGGATGCTCAATTCAGTAGTCGGTTCTGTTTTCCTTTAATTCAGTTTTTCAGTATCATTTGGTATTGTTGACCGAAGCCGCCTTTTTGAAACTTGGTTCACTTGGTTTCTGTAACATCATATTTGATGATTAAGTATTCATAGTTGGAGGATGTTTCCTCTTCTGTCAGACTGTTTCCTGTTCTATGGATTTATTCTGTCAGTATTTCTTTTCCCAAATTACTTCCATCTTGAATTGGCTTATCTTTTTCCTTTCTTGGAAACGTTGGGTATCTCAGTACTTAGTTCTCTAAGCTTTTCTCTTCTCTGTCTTTACTTTCTCTTCATGTTATCTCATGGTTTAAATACCATCCACAGCTAGCTCTTAAGTTATAACTCTTAAATCATTTCCTGAACTCTGGACTTGCCTTGTTAATCTAAGAGCTACCTTGCCCTGAATGTCTAAACACAGAATTTTCTTTCTTCTCCTAATCTTAATCCAAATCCCCACTTTTTCTTCACTTGTGTCTCATTAAATGGTACCTTCACTCACCCAGTTATCAGGTCTGAAATCTAGAAGTTATCCTTGCTTTTTCTCTTTTAGCTTTTACTGTAATTTCAGTCCATTAGCAAAATTTATCCTAATTCCAACCACTTGATTGAATCGTGATTCCAATCATGACCACCATTGCTACTACCCTAATCAAATCCCTCTTTACCTCTCACTCCAGCTGCTGAAGTAGCCTCTTAACTGATCTGGCGGCCATTCTCACATTCTGTATACTTTGCCTCACAACATCCAGAATTATCTAAACCCTGCAGTGGCTTCCTAGCTTTAAAATAAAATTTGAACTCTTTATTAAGGCTTTTAAGGCCCTTTGCATGCTGAATCCTGCCTGGTCTCCAAGCTCATTTCCTACCACTTGCTATTGTTCTCAAAATTAAATATGCAGGGGTGCCTGGGTGGCTCAGTGGGTTTAAGCCTCTGCCTTCACCAGCCTTAGGCTCCCAGCTCCCATCATAATCCCAGGGTCCTGGGATCAAGCCCCCCCCCCCCACATCTGGCTCTGTTCCACAGGGAGCCTGCTTCTCCCCCCCTCTCTCTGCCTACTTGTGATCTCTGTCAAATAAATAGGTAAAATTTAAAAAAAAAAATTAAATATGCATAAGCTTTTGAGACTCTAAACATCATTCTTTCCCCCTCCCCCCTGTTGATTATCACACAGGTGATCTTGGGGCCACAGTATTAAGAACTAAAGTTTTATTAAATCTAAGTAATGAGAGGACAAGGATGTATTTTCACATTGAAGAAGATTTTTTGAAGTTTATGCTTATTCAAGCTTTATTTCCCATAAATGTAAAGTTTGAAAAAGCTATGCAGGTAAAATGAATATTTCCCCCCTCACCTACCTATTACCAGCAAGTAACATATTCCTCTGTGGACTTCAAATATCATTTGTCTTTCTTTCCATTTTTTCAAAATCCAGTAGTGGACATTTAGTATGCTTTAGATACTAGGCAGATAGGTAATTAAGTTGGGATTTTTGTCATAAAATTACAGAATTTGACATTATATACATTTGATGAGGCTCTTGTAGCCAGAGGTAAGATTTTCCTCAGAAAAGATGTTGACCCTGAAATCACCCACATGTTTGCCAAGCACTGAAATTGCTTTATGTTTGTTATCAGATTGTATTTTAAAGATTTTATTTATCTGACAGAGATCACAAGTAAGGAGAGAGGCAGGCGGGGGCGGGGTGGGGGGCAGGCAGGCTGCCTGCTGAGCAGAGAGCCCTAATCCCAGGACCCTGGGATCATGACCTGAGCTGAAGGCAGAGGCTTTAACCCACTGAGCCACCCAGATGCCCCCAGATTATGTTTAGATTAGAATATATTTGACATCTTTATATCCAGTGACCGTGAGTTTTGTTTGTATATAAGATTATTTGGGTTTGGTTATCTTTTTTTTTTTTTTAAGATTTTATTTATTTATTTGACAGACAGAGATCACAGGTAGGCAGAGAGGCAGGCAGAGAGTGGGAAGGGAAGCAGGCTCTCTGCCTAGCAGAAAGCCGGATGTGGGGCTCAATCCCAGGACCCTGAGATTATGACCTGAGCCAAAGGCAGAGGCTTTAACCCACTGAGCCACCCAGGCGCCCGGGTTTGGTTATCTTTTAAGACTCAACTTTGCCATTCAGCAGGCTTCTTATTTGCCATTTTTAAAAATAGTGCTAACTCACTTTTGTTGGTCAAACAATGGGCAAGCATTGGTGATGTTTTTATCTAAACTTTGCAGGAATTGTATTTGTTATATTCTTTTTTTTTTTTAAGATTTTATTTTTACGTAATCTTTATATCCAAAGTAGGGCTCGAAATCCCAACCCTGAGATCAAGAGCTGCATGCTCTACTGACTTAGCTAGACAGATGCCTCAATTTTTTAAATTTTTGTCAAATTAATAACTTCTGTACTTCAAAATGAGTTGTGAACTATTTTATACTAATTCATTTTAAAGATTGAAGGTTAGGCGGTAAAATAAGATGAAACAATATCCTATTAACATTTTTTTTTAATTTTATTTTTTATAAACATATAATATATTTTTATCCCCAGGGGTACAGTTCTGTGAATCGCCAGGTTTACACACTTCACAGCACTCACCATAGCACATACCCTCCCCAATGTCCATAACCCCCCCCCTCCTCTCCCAACCCCCCTCCCCCCACCCATGTCCTATTAACATTTCTAATTGTTAATAATTGTCTCCTCCTTTTACCTGTTTATTTTTAGTAAATTTTAGTTTTATACAGTATTCTCTTCTGTGTTCAAAGGCCTTGCATATACCTTCTCTGGGGTAAGCAGAAGGTTGATATATTTCCCTCAACTAAAGTATATCGAGTTGTGGTTTATTCATCTATTAAAATGACTACTGACCTGGGCAAATTACTATGCCTTTCAGGGTTTCAGGTTGTTTTTCTTCTTTTTTTGTTTTTATAAAATAAAAGTTGTTTTAGACTAGGAGTCTGTAAACTATATTCAGCTGGCCATATTTGACTCTTCTTATATAGGCAGTGAAATAAGAATGGTCCTTATATTTTTAAAAGGTTGTTTAACAAAAAAAAGACCAGTATGCAACAGTGATCCTCCTTGGTATGCAAAATCTAAAAATATTTACCTTTTGACGTTCTTATATTTACAAAATATTATCCAAGGATTATAATGCTAAGAAATAGCACAAACAAATCTTTTTTTAATAATTAGAATGTCTTGATCCTTTAAAGTTAATTCATTTGTGTTAATTTATTGGGAACATAATTAATTAATGAAGTTGTATATTGTATAAACTGTCTTTTTATATATGGGAAGGCAAGCTGGAAAAATTTAAATTTCCCTGGTCAAATTAGTTTTGTTTTAGGGATAATTAGCATGTAAAACAGTACCTTTGGCTAGGAAATGTATAAAAAGTTTCTTAAAATAATTAATGCAAGTATTAAATGACAAGTTGGGATATACTGTTTTTTTTTTTCTATGACTAAAATCACTATATTTTTATATTTTCTTTCCTTCCATTTAGATAGAAGCAGACTTGGGATATCCTGGAGGTAAAGCAAGGATTATTCACAAGGAATCTGATATCATTACTGCCTTTGCTGTTAATAAAGTTAGTGCATAGACTTTTTATTCTTTGATTATTAAGTATTCATTGTTGAAGAATGTCTACTATTATGTCAGTTTATTCAGTATTAGTAATTCTCTTTCCCAAAGCTAATTCTCACTGCCTAAATTTCAATCTGAGTAAGTTCCTTTATTTTATAAAATGATTATATTGTTTGATAATTCAATTTATTGGATAGGTAGCAGATAAAGTAATGTTTTATTACTACACAGAAAGAAATATCAAATATTTATATATGCAATAGCCTTTAGAATTTCTACAACACATTAAAGCATTTAATCTAAAAAAAGGTTTTTTATTTTCCTTATATGAATATGTTGAATGTGGTTGTTAATATTAGATCGAATTCAAGTTTTACATGACTTACAGAAATTCTCACTCATTGACTTACAGCTACATTAGCTGTGTAACTAGTTTCTTCTTCACATTCCTTAGTCTTCTACATAACATGTTCCTTAAAGCTGTCTGTGAGCTCCTTAAAAAAAGAATAGCCTTAGATATACAGTTGTCCTAAGTCAAATTTATTTTAGGGTGCCTGGGTGGCTCAGTGGGTTAAGCCTCTGCCTTCGGCTCAGGTCATGATCTCAGGGTCCTGGGGTCAAGCCCCGCATCCGGATCTCTGCTCAGCAGGGAGACTACATCCCCCTCTCTCTCTGCCTGTCTCTCTGCCTACTTGTGATCTCTCTCTCTCTCTCTCTCTCTCTGTCAAATAAATAAATAAATAAATCCTTAAAAAAAGAATTTAATCACTTTCTCCTTTCTTCCCTAAATGCCTGGCTGCACAGTTTTATTTGCATACACACACAAATACACCTATACACATAAGTGTATATTTCCTTTTTCACATATTCCTAACTTTAAAATAATTTTTAAGTATTATTTTAATAAATACCCTACGGCATTATGCATTCAAAATCATTTTACCAGTTCGTTCTCCATCTTCCTATGAAATATCGTTCTTTTCTTTCATTTCTCCTAGATAGTTCCTCTATTCTTCTGTCCTCATCTTTCCCTATGTCCTTTGTCTCATTTCCCTCTTATACACACCCCTGAACAGTGACTAGTTCTGTTGAAGACAGGCAGGTTTGGAATGAGCCCCTTAACCAGGCAGTTCTCATGTTATAGCATCTGTGCAATATATGGTATAGTATATGTCAGTACAAATAGAAAGCTATTGTCTGCTCCCAACAGCTATCTTCCTTCCCTTGAAAAAAATATGATGTTAAATATTCTGTGCTATAAAACAAGCTCACTTCTTTTTTTTTTTTTTTTTTTTGGATATATATAAGTAATTAGTAATAAACAGTTATCCACATATTATATAAAATCTCTTGTTCACTGTGCAAGAAGAGTGTACCTGTTTAATTTTTATTTCTCCAGATTGATTATCATTTTACAGCTTAAGTTTGTAGATGAGAAATAATACCTTTTGCTTTAAATTCCATTTTTTTAAAATGCTGATGAGATTGAACTTTTTTCCATTTGTTTAGTTGTGAATTATCTGTGTTAAGAACTGTGAAAGGTCTAAGATTTATTACTAATAACAGAAGCATTATCCAGAATATCAGCATTTATGCTGTAGTTCCCTGTGTTAATATTACCACAAGTGGCAGGGAGGGGGCCAAATGAAAACTGCACACAGAGTAGGTTGTGTTATAGGAAAGGAACACCGAGTTTAGGGAACCTTAATTTTCTCTAATGTACATTAAGGGTACCTGCCCTTTGATCTGGAGGGAGACGCTATAGGCATATATAAAGCCATTCTGCAGAACAAACAGCAGTCAGTAAGTCACTCACCAGACATGCAGAAACAGAGAGACCTGTGGAGAATTATCTCCAAGCAGTCTCATTATATCCTTTCTCCATTTATGTCTGGGTATTCATTTTTTCCTTTTGTTTTTGTATTAGCATTTTACGTAATGTAAATGTTAATCCTATTTTCTCTTTGCTGTCAACATTTTATTTTCTCTTTTCAGTTCATAGATGTTTAAAATTTTTTATCATTTAATCTGACCAACTTTTTAAATTAATATTTATTTATTTAGTTTAAAGAAGGATAGAGAGAGAACGTGGGGGTGGGGGAGAGAGTGGAGGGAAAGAGAGAACCTTTTTTTTCCCCAGAGATTTTATTTATGTATTAGAGAGAGAGCACAAGCAGGGTGAAGGGCAAAGGGAGAAGCAGACCACTAAGCAGGAAGCCCAATGCAGGACTTGATCCTGGGATTCTGGGGTCATGACCTGAGCCGAAGGCAGACACTTAACCAACTGAGCCAGAGAGAGAGAGAGAGAGACGTTAGCACACTCTGCACTGAACTTATGTCTCATGACCCTGAGATCACAACTTGAGCTGAAACCAAGAGTCAAGACACTATAACGGCTGCACCACTTAGGTGCCCCTACAGTATCCATCTTTTAATTTATGATTTATTCTGACAAACTTTCCCTACTCTTTTTCTGTCTACCCCTATATCTTTCCATTGTGACTCTTTCCCAAATTCTGTTTTTCTTGTTTAAGCCTGAAAAGCTTTAGGTGAAAGCGATACTATCTTATTTGAATAATGTACTTTTATTTCTTTTTTTTTTTTTTTTTTTTTTTAATATTTTTTTTATTTATTTGACAGAGAGAGAGATTACAAGTAAGCAGAGAGGCAGGCAGAGAGAGAGGAGGAAGCAGGCTCCCTGCCGAGCAGAGAGCCCGATGCGGGGCTCGATCCCAGAACCCTGGGATCATGACCTGAGCTGAAGGCAGAGGCTTTAACCCACTGAGCCACCCAGGCGCCCCCTTTTATTTCTTTAGTTTGATGTTCCTTATCTCTCTCTACCTTCTAGAGCTTCTATCCAGCACCTCCCTCCACATTTCAGAACTGTGTAAACCTTAGGGAGATTGTACCGCACTAGCAGACTGGAGAGAGAGTGCTGGGAGAAGAAATAAAGTGGTACATGCATTACTATTTAGAGGAGGCTTTGTGTTAGATGCTCTTGAGTTCTTAGAACATAAACATATCTCCAAGCTCAAGCGGATAATTATTACACTCAAGATTTAATTATTAAAATTAATTTTAAGTATTCATTTGTGATAATGCTGTCTTTTCTGCATCCTAAAATTTCTAGGGGCTATTTTGTAGTTTCCATTTTTAGAAGTGGCCCATATATACATGTTGTGTTTTTTTATTTAAAAATTATGATTTGTTTTTCAGGCAAATAGAAACTGCATAGCAATTGCATCAAGCCATGATGTTCAAGAACTGGATGTTTCTGGAATTCTAGCTACACAAATCTATACTTGGGTAGATGATGATGCTGAAATGGAAACCAAAGGGTACTTTTATACTTTGTTTTTAATTCATTAACATTGTGTTAAATGATATCCACAGAAATATAACTTCCAAAAGATTTTTAGAGGAGTATTCCTAGATTGTGAGTATAGTGGATACTGATACAATACAGAATGTAAAAGGGGGTGGCAGGCACTTTAAAGAAAGGAACTGAGGGTTAGAAGAGAGTAATGTGAGAGATTCTGCAATTGTTCCCATATAAAGTTACTATCTCCGAGTTAGGAGTTAAGAGCTGAAGAAAATTTTAGAGGGAAATACAAAAGCATATATTAGAGCTTTCAGGAATAAAGGAAGAAATGAAGAACTAATGGGTTGCTCTCATTCCGGGTGACGTTCTTTTGTAGATCAGAAGATTTCTTGGTTATACATGCTCGTGATGATTTAACAGCTGTGCAGGGTACAACCCCATATACACATAGCAATCCCGGCACTCCAATCAACATGCCTTGGCTTGGCAGTACACAGACTGGCAGAGGAGCATCTGTGGTATGTAGAGTTCAACATACTGTGGATAGGGGTGTCTGGATGGTTCAGTCAGCTGAGCGTCTGACTTGATCTCAGGGTGTGAGTTCAGGTCCCGCATTGGGTTCCATGCTGGGCATGGAGCCTGCTTCAAAAACAAAAACAAACCCCACACACAAAGTAAAAATACTGTGTTTAACTGTCCCTTTTCCCCCCCTCTAGTTTAATAGATAAAGGGTGATTTAAACATATTTTTTAAAAATCCTTAACTTTTTAGTAAGTCATACTTGCTGGAAATTATAAATTTAGATTGTGAAGAATAATATGTATTTTCATATGAAAAAGATAACAAAATTGTTTTAAATAAATAATTTAAAATAGAAAGAGCTGTATTTTAAGAGCTATATTTAATTATTTGAAACTTATTGGTACAAATCAGGTATCAGCAAGCTGTGGTCTGTCGGTCAAACTGTTTTTGTGTAAACGTGCTTGAGAGTAGTGTTGACTTTTTTCAGTGGTAGGAAAAAAGTCAAAAGAAGAATGGTATTTTGTGATACAAAAAAATTATATGAAATTCAGATTTCATTATCTATAGGCAAAGTTTTATTGGAACATAGCCACAGTTATTTGTTTGTATTTTGTCAGAGGATCTTCTTGAGCTCTGATTAATATGTGATCCATGTTTATCCCTCAATGAGATTCTTTTATTAATATTTAATGATGCATGGAGTCAGAGAAACCCAGGACCAGTAATTCTTTCAGTGGCTTTCTGGTGTTACGGTTATTTTTAGTTTCCTAATTCCTGTAGAATTCTTTCCTTGGCTTCCCGGTCCCCACCAACACACACACTAATTTTTTTTTTTTTTTACTAATTAGTAAGGATAGTTATTTTAGTAAATGTTTAATCATCCTTAATAATACCTGATAGTATTATATATTAATGTAGTTCCTCTGTTGCTCATAAAACCTTATTTTTGTTCATATAACCTTACTATGCTCTGAGATACCTATTGAGATAGCTGTTATAATTACTCCTACTTATCATTTTGCAGATGAAACTTAAGATCCAGAAGGGTCTAGTGATTTAACTTAAGTCATTATCTCAGATTTTTGGTAGAGCTTATATTAAAGTCTTCTATTCCTCCTACCTAGTTCACTGATTTCAGGTAGGAGTGTTTGTAGTATTACAGAGTTTGAAAAGCAATCTAGGAATTATTCAAGTGAACTGTCTTGGTCATTTATAGTTCATTTTTTCCAACTGTCAGATACATTAAAATTCACTTCTAAAACCTACTGATATTATCTTCTTTTAAAGGAAAACTTAAAGAGAATATACAAAATATATAAAAAGAAATAACAGGCAATTTCTCCAACTCCATTTTCAGAGAATACAATGAACTTCTTCCTTTAACAGTATCTTGCTGGTCTCTCTGCTTCCACACTTGCTCCCTGTGTTCTGGATACAGCGGCCAGAGTTGCTCTTTTCTAAAGGATCATTTAGGGTGTCACTCTGGTGTTTAAAACTTTCTGATTCCCCAATACAACTTTAAAAAAACAAGTCCTTAAGGTGGCCTCTGTGGTCCTCTGTGATCTAACCCCTGCTAGCCTCTGCAGCCTCATCTCTGTTCATTCTGTACCTGATTCGCTTTGCTGTAATTACAGTGGCCTTGAGAGGCCACACAAGAAGTCTCTTGAGAACATCAAGCTCATTGCCCTGTTAGAGCCTTTGCCTTGCTTTCTGCTTCAAATGTTCTTTTTTTTTTTTTTACCATTCAGATCTCAGGTCAGGTTCCCAGGGATTTCCCTTGCTTCTCTAGTGAAGGCATCTGCCCTTACCAACTCTACCTGTAGTCACTCTGTATGTCATTATTATCCCCCATTTTATCTTCTTTAATGGCCTGTATCAGTTTTGAAATTATCTGTTCACTATTTGTCTTTTTTAACATACTCTGTAATGGAAACTGTGTGAGAGATTGTTACGCCTGCCTTAGACACTGATGATCTCTAACTAGAATGGCGTTTATCATATGGTCAGTGCTCAGAAAATACTTGTTTTTACTCCAAAGCATTATAATACAGAAATTTACCTTTGTCATTCTTGTTAGGATAGGATTTCCTTTCTATCTCCTCTTAGTAGGACCCCTTTTCAGGAGGGGTTTGTTAGGATAATTAGGATAATTAGATTATTTGTTAGGATAATTAGTCTAATTGGTCCCGCTCTGTCCTCAAGAAAAGACACTGGTATTATCAGGTGGTTCTTTTTTATAAGGATCTTCTAAAATAAGTTATGATTTCTATATGTTCTGCATATGCTCTTCGAAATTTTATTAAACCTGTGTTTATGTATTTTTTACTTATGGTTTTACTTTGATACTTTAGTCAGAAAGAAAAGTAAAAGAATAGGAATATTTAGGAGTTTCTTCAATTAAAGGAACATGAGATTTCAACATCAAGTTTGCTAAACAGAGGTAACATTCAGCAGGTTTTTGTTTTTTTATGAAGAATTAATGAAATATTTTCTTAATTCTGTTGCTTTATTGAATTATTAATTCTAACAAAAAAAGAATACTTGTTATAACCAACTTCTGCTGTTTTGTAATAAAATTACAACCATAACCATCCCTCAGTGTTTCTGTCCTTCAACACTTCTGCTTGCCGGCTCTCTTCTTCCCTACCCAATCCCCACTCTATTCATGACTTTAGTCTAATGGACAATTTAAAATCCACAAGAACAACAACACACAAAAATCTACTCAAGATTGATACTATGAAGCTTAGGATAACATATAATTGTAGTTATGGTGCTGTATAAATAGGAATTGTTCTAGTAATTAAAATTATCTCTTTAATTTCACTTATTCTTATTTGACAGGCTACTTCATTCACAACATGATTTAAAAATGGATAAATTAAAAAAAAATGGATGAATAGCTCCACACTATCAGTTAAAAATTTATACAATTTTCTGTTTACCTCTTTTTTTTTGTTTTTTTCACATGCTTCTGCCTATCTTTTTAACCTTGTACTATTCAGGATTTTTCCAATAAAATTAATGGGATCAGAAAAGAATTGGCAAGAAAGGAGGTAAGACTAAATTCTCAAGGTGAATTTGTTCTTAGAGCCTAGTCAATGATGCTGAAAATGTATGTACACTTAAATGTGAGAGAGCTGAGCTATTAAATTTAATTTCTGTTATTATATTTAGTATTTTTAGCACCCACAATGTTCAGTAGGAATCACATAAAAATAAATAAATAAATGTTATTTGAATTACCTGTCACATTTTGTATTTTTAATCCTCCTTTTTATTGTAACTATAGAAGAATGATTTTTCTTTGTTAACAGATGATTAAGAAAGCCATTAATAATGTCAGAAGAATGACTTCTCATCCAACTCTTCCTTACTGTAAGTTGATAATAATTAGCCAGTGTTCTAAGGAATTTAAAGCAGGTTTTTAGTTTCAGTTGAAAGGTAGTCAGCTATTTTACTTTTTTTTTTAATAGAGAGTGTCTGCTAGCAAATAAAAACATTTCAAAATTGGATAACAATAGAAAAAGAAATTTTCCTGAATTAATAGAGAAGGCTAACTTGATGCAGTAAATCTTTACTATGTTGACTGCATATTTCTAAGTTAGAACATTTTAGTTTTGAACATTTCTGGAGACTTCATACAATTAAAAGTTATCGTCATAATTAATTGTTTTAATAATGAGATCACTCCCATCTTTTATTACATAGATCAGAACAATACATTGGTCACTTACTGGCTTATCATAGTCACTTTGTATTTTATTAATATTTTGTCAGTTTGCCTTTTATCAGACACACTAATAGTAGGCAAAGGAAGTAGTTACTAGTAAGTTCTTACACTCTCAGGGAAGATATATTATTTTCAGTTAATATTCTTGGGAATTTCAAAAGTTTTTCTCCTTTAACAAAGAACTTAATCAATGGGGAATTTATTTGGACATATTGAAACAGAGAAAAAACAAAAAAGACAACTTTAAAAATATTTGTGCGTTAGAATCAGCATTCATATTGGCATCTCAATATTCAAGTTTTCTTAATATGATTTTTAAGTTGTGCCTCTCATCAGGTTGCCCCACCACACAGTAATAAGCACCGCGCCTGTTAATTAAAAAAACATTCATGTTCCTTCAATTTTGTAACATATAAAAAATTATACTACTTTTATAATGAGAGATATTCTGATAAGATACATTTGACAAAACCAGTATTCTTTTCTACTTTACTGTCCTAAGTAGTACAAGCAGCTGTTATCAAAATTGCATATCAGTGTCCAACAAAAGGGTTCAAAAGAACTATGTATTTAAAATGAAGAGAGTAACTTCTGTTACGGATCCTAAAGGTGTGAAAAAATGTAAAAATTAATCAGTGTTTTTACTGCATTGAATCATTACTACTGATAATTATACTTAACATAAATTGAGTGGTCCATGTTAAGCATATTTCTAAATGATTCATACGGATTATCTTGTTTACTTCTGATGGCTATCTCTTAACTTACATATCATTATTCCCCTTTTACAGGACAATTTGAAATGGGTTCATGGAGATTAAATAAGCTTCCTCGTATCACAAAATTAGTAAATAGCAAAGTGATGAATTAATAATTACTTAGCTTATTCACATCCCTCAATGAAACATAACACATTTGAGATATCCGGTCAGTCAGAATAACTATCAGAAGTGATTTTTTTCTTTACTGTGCATGACATTCAAGACTTTCTACAGTCTTTTTTTTTTTCCAGACAAAATATGTAAGTTTAAACATTAATAGTAGGACTGATAAGAATTGACTCTTTAGTTCACCCAGAAATTTGTTAACTGGTTATTATATAAAGTATTTATTAAAGGCTATTAAAAGATCATTTCAAAGACTATTAAAAGATAATTTCAAAAGGAAATAAAATTTACAGAGGTCTGATTTAATTGCTTCTGTTATGTAGTGTGAGGGTATATTCTGAGTCAAATGAAAGTACATCAAAAAACTGTTTTTAAGATTAAAAATACTCAAACGAAATTTCATGACAAAGGTAAGTTCATGTAAATTGACTATGATTCATTTCAAAGCTGTTTCTTTCATAAAGGTCTTCACTTGGATTCAAAAATAAACCTTCCAAAGATGACTGTAATAAATTTGCAATTTTTGCCCTTTATAATGCAGATCTGACAGGAGCTCAAGATGGAAGTGTCCGAATGTTTGAATGGGGCCATTCTCAACAAATAACTTGTTTTCGATCTGGTGGCAATTCAAGAGTTACTAGAATGAGATTCAACTACCAAGGAAATAAGGTAGTATATAAAAATATAAATGGGAAGAGGGCTTATTTTGGAAGTTTATAAATATTACTAGTCTGTGTTTCTGAAGAGAGCAGTTGAGTGAAGTAATGATAAATTATTAATCTATATGGATTCTTTTATAAAAGTCTTTTCAAAGAACACTTACATTCATTTCATTCTTCTTGGAACGACATTTATTTATGGGTATGCATGTTTTGTGTGTATATGTGTGTATATATATCCATTAAAATTCACTTAATGATGCTTTAGGACCAACTGTTATAGGACCACCAAATATATTTTTGATTAAATATTTGTGCTTTCTTTGTCCTCTGGAACCTACTCAAAGTATGGTCAAGTAGCAAGTAACATCTGGGAGCTTATTAAAAACGCAGATTATTGTGCTCCATTCGGCAGCACATATAATACTAAAATTGGGATACAGAGAAGGTTAGCGTGGCCCCTAAGAAAGAATGACACACAAATTTGTGAAGGGTTCCATATTTAAAAAAAAAAAAAAAGCAGATTAACTCTACTGCAGACCTACTGAGTCACCATCTGCATTTTAACCAAATCCTTTTGTGATTTGTACCTATATTAAGCTTTAATTTCAGTTGTGTAATGTATACTTTAGTGCTTATGCTTTTCTACTTTGGTTGCCAATACTATATTGCTCCTTAGCTAGCCTCTGTACCTCAATTCTACCTTTCTAATGCATCCTTCATATTGCCAACACAGTTGTATAACTAATAATAGAGTTATATAACCACACTATAAGGGAGATCACATTACTGGTTCTTTTCAAGAGCCCGTCAAGGTGCCTCATTGTATCCAGAAGACCATATTCTTTAGCATGGCATTCAATACCTTCTGTAGTCTGAATTATTTTGTAGATTTAACACTCACTATAACTTTCAACATAAATTTTAAGGCACAAAAAAACTATTCTTCATTACCTACCCAAGTATAATTAACAATCTACTTACTGTCCATTCACCATAAGCATGATGAAGCCAAACAGCACAACAGCTAAGCATGCTGTCTCCCTTAGTGTAGGGAAGCCTACCATGCTAAATAAAACAGAGGACAGTAATCCTGGTTAGTTTGTCAATTATGAACAGAAATGGGCTGCCAGAAGCTATTGAGCCTAAAAAGAGGCATTAAGTGGAATCAATGACCTGTGAGCAACAGTTCCTCAGATTCAGGAAGATACTGCACTCTAAAATAAAAATAAGCTGCTATGAAGTAAAACCAGTAGAAGAGGAAAGAATTCTTGGAAATTTAAAACATGTGATTCCCAAAATTGTGTTAGTAGAACAACTAGTTATTATAAGGGCTGAATCGCAGAATGGATATAGTTGAAAATCTAGTTTGTGACTGGAATAACAACTTAGGAAACTATCCTTTGATAAAAATAATACAAGAAACAAATTAAGACTAGACCCAGGAAAACTTAAAAAGACATTTAAAAGGTATTTCAGAAGAAGAAAAAAATGATGGAATAGAAAGGAGCATTATATTCAAAGGAAGTAATTAGAATAAAAATATTCCCAAATCAAAGAAAAATGGAATTTTTGAAAAGAAAGGACCTACCAAGTACTAGGCAGAAATATTGAGAAATATCACATGCCTAGATACATCCTGATTATTTGATTTTTGTTTTTTTAACCCAAAGATAAAGAAAGCTTCTAGGAAGGAGTAGGGGTAAAATGATTACTTAGAACCTCTCCACCCCTCCCCTCTAAATTTAATGGCATTTCACCTACTCAAAAATAAAGATTACACATAGGAAAGCAATATTCACAGAAGTCTCTGATGGACAACGAATGGGAATTAGTTGTCATTATCTGTCCAAACATTCATTCAAACTTGATGAAAAATACATAAAAAAAATGTATTTTTAAGTGTGCAGAGATATAACATGCTCCATATATCCTTTCTAAAGACCATATGTATGTCTTCTCCAGAAAACAAGATAAATCACAAAAAGGATACACTTTGAGAAAATATCTGTAACATTCTCTGTGGATAAACAATTGGATAAACAATGAGTTACTGTTCCTAATATTCGCCTTATCAATTTTTAAAAAAGAAAATAGAGAAATTGGGGCGCCTGGGTGGCTCAGTGGGTTAAAGCCTCTGCCTTCGGCTCAGGTCATGATCTCAGGGTCCTGGGATCGAGCCCCACATCGGGCTCTCTGCTGAGCAGGGAGCCTGTTTCCTCCTCTCTCTCTCTCTCTCTCTGCCTGCCTCTCTGCCTGCTTGTGATTTCTCTCTCTGTGTGTCAAATAAATAAAATCTTTAAAAAAAAAAAAAAAAGAAAATAGAGAAGTAGATAAAGGATATAATCAAGTCAGTTTATGGGGCGCCTGGGTGGCTCAGTGGGTTAAGCCGCTGCCTTCGGCTCAGGTCATGATCTCAGGGTCCTGGGATTGAGTCCCGCATCAGGCTCTCTGCTCGGCAGAGAGCCTGCTTCTCTCTCTCTTTCTCTCTGCCTGCTTCTCTGCCTACTTGTGATCTCTCTCTGTCAAATAAATAAATAAAATCTTTAAAAAAAAAAAATCATTAAAAAAAAAAATCAAGTCAGTTTACGAAACAACTATGCATGACCAACAGTCCTGACTAATAATTAAAGAAATACATATTAAAATTAGCCTTTTTTCTGTATACCAACAAATATTTAAAATTTTAGTAATCACTGTTGACTAATGTGTAAGAAAAATAGGTGTATGAATTGATATTACCACTAAAGATTAAATTTTAGCTTCACCTGCCAGTGTTAAATGATGCTATTTGACAAAGCTTTTCCATTTCTAAATATCTATACTACATAAATACTCAAAGGTTTATATACCAGAATATTTATTTATTTTAAAGGTTTTATTTATTTATTTGAGAGAGGGAGCGAGATGGAAAGAGACACAAGTGGGGGTGGGGAGACAAGCAGAGGGATAAGCAGACTCCCCACTGTGCAGGGAGCCTGACACTGGATTTGCTCTCAGGACCCTGAGATCATGACCTGAGCCAAAGACAGATGCTTAACCAACTGAGGCCACCCAGGCGCCCCTGTACCAGAATATTTAAAGGAGCACTTGGCATTAGGGAAAATTGAAAACTGTCCATAAATGAAAAAGCTTTCAAACAAGTCATAATGCAACATATAGTTTAATACTACACTGCACAAGAATGAAGTAGATTAAATGTACTAATATGAAGAGATGGCTATAACAGGTAAAAAATGTAATTGTAGAACTGTATATTTATTATGATTCTCATTTTTTTAAAAACCCTGTGTGAATATTGGACTATTCATAGAATAGATTTGAAATGGAACACATCACATTGTTAATAGTTTCTAGATCTGGAGATGGGGGAGGGCAAGAGTCCGAAGTAGACATTCTTTTTATATTATAAACTGTATATGTTATTTTTATAACCTAAAGAAAAAAATGCTTAGTCTTCCTTATCCTTTTATATCTGTAACATACACTCCCTCATTGAATAATTTTGACATTTTCTCAATCAGATTACCCTGAGTTCCCATAGTGGGAATTCTTGTTTTGTTTCATTTTACTTTCTACTCTTATTGACACATTTTTCTTATATATTTCTGGAAGTCCTTATTTTTTCTTGGTCATAATGACAGTTTTCTATTTTATATATACTAAACATTTGTTGCATGACTTAATGTGTAAATCTATTATCCTATTTTTTGAGTACTTTTAGATAATATATAGACTCTGCTTTTGGTTAGTATGATAAAGTGTATGTCTGATGTTTGCTTATTCTGTGTGACCTGGTATTTTCTTAAGCAGCAGCTAACTTTTTCTGGACTAGATCCATGAATCGGTGAAGTAAAAGTCCATTTATCAACAAAATATTTGAGATCAAAATATGGGATTCACAACGGGGGCATGGGTTGATATGTACTTTTGTATTAGTATTAGAAACTTAAAAAAATGTTTTTCTCTAAGTTTGGAATAGTTGATGCTGACGGATATTTAAGTTTGTATCAAACAAACTGGAAATGTTGCCCAGTAACTGGAAGCATGCCTAAGCCATACCTGGTAAGCCAAAAATTCTTACCTTTAAACTTTTTTGAATTTTTATTTTATTTTATTTTTGTTATTTTTCAGAGAGAAACAGAGTCAAGGGAAGGGCAGGGGAGAGAGAATCCCAAGCAGGCTTCATGCCTAGCATAGAGCCCTACATGAAGCTTAGTGTCATAACCCGGAGGTCACAACCTGAGCCGAAATTAAGAGTGGGATGTTTAACTGAGCCACCCAGATACCCCTTGAATTTTTATTTAATTTAATTAATTTATTTATTTGACACAGAGAGCAAGCAAGCACAAACAGGCAGTGGAGAAGCAGGCTCCCCACTGAGCAAGGAGCCCAATGCGGGACTCTATCCCAGGACCCCTGGGATCATGACCTGAGCTGAGGTCAGATACTTAATGGACTGAGCCACCCAGGCGCCCCTGAATTTTTGTTTTAAAGAAATCAGGAATATACATTTGAGGCAATAAATATTAAAGCCAAAAAGTGAAATCTCTTTAGTTCTATGTATACAATCAATTTACTATAAACTCCTGTCATTGTGTTATTTGAAAATTAATCTGTGAGGTTTAAAAATTCTTAGTCTCTGGTAATTTGGAAAATTAACCTGTATTGAACAAACGTGGTACCTCCAGAGACCCATGCAGCCTGTGGGTTACTCAAGCCCTTTTCCATCCTCACTAGGCTACAGTGGGGATTATACCTAAAAAGAATGATCAACAGACTATGCATCTGCTGGGGTTGTTTTGTTGTTGTTGTTGTTTGTTTGTTTGTTTTTGCAATTAGCCCTTACAAACAAAGTAGAAAGGATATGTTAAAGCTGGCACAATTATTTTCTTGCCCATGTCTTTTCTTTTCTTTCTTTTTTTTAAGATTTTATTTATTTATTTGAGAGAGAACAGAAGGAGGAGCAGAGGGAGAGGGACAAGCAGACTCCACACTAAGTGCAGAGCCCAACGTGTGGCTCGATCTCACAACCCTGAAATCATGACCCAACTGGAAATTAAGTGTCAGAGCTTAATTGACTGAGCCACTCAGGTGCTTCTTGCCCTGTCTTTTTAAAAAAAATTGATACATCTCTATTCGGGACTGCACAAGCATAATGAACCTTGTGCAACTTCAGAGAACACTGAGTTTGTATTTAACATATTTTTAGTATATGTGCTGCCGAAATGAGCACTAATATATTTTTCAGTGAAGCCCCTTATAGGACTAAGCAATACCTATTAGGAGAATATTGAGAATATAAGTTAAGGTTCTAATAATTCACTCAAGATTAAATTCTGGGATATGGTACTGATTTAAACAAAAGCAGGCAAGGGGATGGTTGGTGAGAGTACTTTGCAATAATATTTTTCCTCATTTTTTTATTAAGCCAGTGGATTTAAATACATGTTTATATTCCCTTATGGGCTGCCTCTTTTTTTCTTTTTTAATAAATTGGATTGGAAATGTACATTATTGGTTTTGGGGGTTAAAGTGTATTTTGTTTGTTCTAAGGACATATCTAGGGGTAGTCAGGGTAGTCAGGGGAAATGGGGAAGTGACTCAAAGGAAAAATCTTTTATGTGTTGATTTTGATATAGTTAAAAAAATCATTTTTTATTGAAGAGAAACATCTGAACAAGTAAGCTTGGAAATCTTTGTAATAGACTAGACCTCTCATATTAAGTTACTATTTGATGGAGTGTTCACAAACATTGTAAATTTTCTAGTTTTGTTGACTTAATAATATGTTTATATTCACACATTTGAAAAAATATTTGATTACAACAGACTTTTAACTAAAGGAAACAAACTGAGGGTTGCTGAAGGGGAGGTAGGTGGGGGGATGGGGTATCTGGGTGACACACATAAAGGAGGGCACGTGATGTGATGAGTACTGGGTGTTTCACGCAACTGATGAAGTATTGAATCCTACATCTGAAACAAGTGGTGTGCTGTATGTTGGCTAACTGAAATTAAATTAAAAAAAGAAAAAATTATTTAAGAGTTTAAACATTTCTGAAAACAAATAATTTAGTCTGAGATAATCTAAAATTCTAGTTTTTTTCTAAGAAAAAAAATTCTCACAGATATTGAGAAATATTAAACAGTTAGCTTCCTTTTGTTTTCTTTTGAACTTTTAGATGAACAAAAGCACAGGGTCTCGTAAAGACTTATAATGCATATGGTTCAGGGAAGTTGTGTGTGTGAGAGAAAGAGAAAAAGAGAAGGAGAGGCAAAACATGTGCCACGTGTTCAAAATTGGTGAATTGGATAAATGGTATATGAAAATTCTCTGTATTGCTTTTGAAACTTGTCTAAAGTTTGGAGGGAAAGACTCAAAAGGTTTAAGTAAGCCACAGATTACATGATCCCTTTTTTATTAATGCACCTACTTGGTTATAAAATTGCTAGTGACAGCAGTAACATTTGTTTGTTTCTAACTGTTGCAGACTTGGCAGTGTCACAACAAAACAGCCAATGATTTTGTCTTTGTTAGTTCCTCCTCTTTGATAGCTACAGCTGGTCTTTCAACTGACAATAGGTAAGAGATTATAACTGAAATTTGTGTGTGCATCTGTATAGCTGAACTTTATTTTTTACTCGCTTTGCATTTTTGTGTCTCAAGAATGTTTTCACAATTATGCTTTTCAATATTTTATTATAAAGACTTGTTACTTAGAGTAGGGAAATTTTGGTGGCCTTAAAAACAAAATCCATTCCTTCTGTATTATTAATATTGCAATGTTAAGACTTCAGGAAAAAAGAATTTGATAGTGAAATTAATTTTTCTCCATATTATTCCTTATATGTTAAGAAAGCTTGAGGCAAAAAAGAAGAACTATTATTTATTGGTCCAGCTTTTTCATTAATCCTCATGGTGGCTCTCTTAGGTAGGTATTATTAGTGTTTCATGATAAAAAAAAAACAACTAGAAACTCAAAAGACTTTTTAGTTGAACAGTAGCTAGTGAGTGTCAGCCTATCCCCATCTCCCCCAAAACCTTAAATATGTAAGAAGATGTCTCCTCCTGCCTCAGTCCACAACACCCCGTTTCACTTCCCTTATGCAGCAGAGTTCTGCTGAGGTTGCTGAGCTTTTCTATTTATCTCTGAAGCCTTACTTTGCACTACAAATTGGAATGTAGGAATATGGAGTCTTCAGCCCATCTTGGATAGAAATTCTTGCGTATGTTAGTGCCTCCTTTGCCACTCATAGAAAGGAGTAAAAGCTACTCCCATTCATAGCAGAAATAAGTTTTCTTTGTGTTCCAAAAAAATTCAGTGTGTCCTGCTATTGGTATATGTCAGTCCATCTGTCAGATTAGAGAATCAACAAATACAAAAAGTAGTTTCTGTATTCAGGCCTTATATAGCATTATTTGTAAATAAGTGCCAGTCTAAAGTTACTTAGTTTTTTAGGTTAGTAATTTTTTGAATTTTGTGTGAAAATTAATCATGCATAAATACATTGGTTACTTGTATTTGGTTCTTTTATAAATTTAAGAACTTTTTATGAGAACAAGGTTCAAATGTTAATATAACTATATGAGACAGCTTATTTTTTATTATGTTGTTAAAATTTTGTGTCATTCAAATAATTTTTTTTTTCAGGAACATATGTTTGTGGGATACTCTTGTAGCACCTGCCAATAGTTTAGTCCATGGTAAGTTTTGAAAGCATTTTGTAAATTCTGCAAGTCAAGAAATTCATAAAGTAAGAGAATTTTTTAATGGCTTGTCTTTAATGACATATATTTATTAGCCTCTGAGGTTTATTTTGCCCACAGTGGCGCAAACTTTGAAAGCAGAAAAATGCAAGATATGTAATTAACTCTTTACTATACCTGATGAAGGATAGTAGTAGAACATAGATAATATAAAAGTCATGTTTTTACTTTGGATCTGATAACCACTCCTACTCTGCATTGTACTGGGAGTCCTAACAAATGCAGTAACACAAGAAAAAGAATTAAAAGGTATACATTTGGAAGACGAGTAATAAAACTGCCTTTATTCACAGATGACATGATTGTGTAGAAAATCTTAAAGAATCTACAAAAAAAAAAAAGAAACTTTTGGAACTAATGTGCAAGTATAGTAGAATCACGGGATACTAGGTCAATATACTAAAGTCATTTGCTTTCATATACACCAGCAATGAACAACTGGGATTTGAAAGTTTTAAAAATCACCATTTATAATAGCACCCAAAATAATGACATACTAAGATGTAAATATAACAAAATACATATAGCCTCGTTGGGGAAAACTATAGAAAAAAAATCAGAGATGTAAATAAATGGAGAGCTAGTCCATATTCAGTGTTGTTAGCCAATGTTGTTAAGATGTCAGCACTTCCCAACTTTACAAATTAAATGCAATCCTAATCAAAGTCCCAGCAAACTGTATTGTACATATCAACTGGTTCTAAAAGTTCCTATAAGGAGGCAGCAGGCCTAGAATACTGGATACTGAGAAAAAAACAAACTTGAAGAACTCACACTACCTGATTTCAGGACTTACTATAAAACTACAGTAATGAAAGACATTATGTATGGGTTAGAATAGATAGAGATCACAGAACAGAAACTAAACCTTCTGGAAGGAATTATAGGAAAAGATCTGGGTGACCTTAGGTTTAGTCCTGCGTTTTTAGATACAACCTCTAAAGCACTGTCCATGAAAGAAATGATATATTCAAGACTTTAAAATTACCCTCTCCTTAGTATCTACATGGCAAGTAAGCATATGAATATGTACCTAACATCAGTATTCATTAGGGAAATGGAAACTAAATTCCCCATAAGATACTATTCTATACCCTAAAATGGCCAAAGTCAGTGATTCTAGAATACCATGTGTTGGCAAGGACATAGAGAACTTGGAACCCTCATGGTTTGCTGAATGAGTATAAAAGGGTACAGCTGCTTTGGAAAACTGATTGGCAGTTTCTAACGAAGTTAAACATTCACCTATATATATACCCCAAAGAAATGAAAATACATGCCCACAAAAAGACTTGTATAGGAATGTTCTTAGCAGCTTTATTTATAAAAGCCAAAAACCAGGAACAACACAAATATGTCCACCAGGAACCTGGTCTATTTATGTAATAGAATACTATTAAGCAATTTAAAAAAGGCATGGCCTACTACTGATACATGGGACAACATTCATTAACCTCTAAAACATGTTGAAGGAAAAGAAGCCAGGCACAATAGAGTATATACCACAAAATTCTACTTATGTGAAGTTCAAGAACAGGTAAAAGTAATCAGATAGAAATCAGACTAGTGATAGCCGTTGTGAGAGAGGAAAGCTGACTACAGAGAGGCATGAGGGAACTTTCTGGGATGACGACAGCATTCTGTGTCTTTAATTGAGTAATGGTTACACAGATGTCTCCATTTGTCAAAGCTATTCAGAGGTAAACACTTAGAATTTCTGCATTTAACACTGTATAAGTTATATCTCAAATTACTAGTAAAACTCAAAAAATCCTTCTCTATAATTTTTTCTTCAGATTCTTAAAATAAGTATATTGAGTACTTAGTATATGCCTCACACTCTACATGTTTTGACTATACTAACTAATTTAATCCTCACACAAACTTATTAAGCAGGCTGGATTGTCTCTTTTTACAAATGATGAAACTGAGACTTAACATTAAAAGAAAAAAAAGTAATTCACCTAAGTTATACATTTAAACCCATGCAAAAAACCAAGATTTATATCTTGACATCCTGACTCCCAAATCTTCATCTTTATGCCATATTGTCTTTGAGCTGTTTATAGATGTTTGTTTCCCTGAAATTTGTTAGGCTAGACTTTTTTTTTTAAGAAAAAAATATTCATTGTATTTATGTATTTGACACAATATTGATATGTCTTCAAGTTCACCAGTTTGGGTTTTTTTTTTTATGGCATTGTTTAATCTGCTCTTAATCCAATGCAGTGTATTTTTCATTTTAATATTACAGTTTTTAATCTCTGGACCTTTTATTTTTATCTCCTTTTTTATATCTTTCATGTCTCTACTTAACAAGCTTGATCTTTCATCCAGCTGTATGAAATGACAGTTGTATGGCTCACTCCTACCTTGCTTCCCATCTCTTAGAGATCATTTTTCTTTGCCTGATGTCCAGTGCCCCAAACCATTGTTTCCTATATATCATTTTATTTTTTAAATTGTTTCAGGTAGGTGGGTAAACCTGGTGATCTATTGTTCTACATTGGCCAGAAGCCAGAAGTCTGTTTCTTATACCATTAAATGGTTTTTCCTTTTCTATTTTATTTTATTTTTACTTTATTTTATCTTTTAGCTTTTACATGCCATGATAGTGGAGCTACTGTTTTAGCATATGCTCCAAAACATCAGCTATTAATATCAGGCGGCAGGAAAGGCTTTACATGTGCATTTGACCTTCGGCAACGACAGCAAAGGCAGCTTTTCCAGAGCCATGATTCTCCTGTTAAAGCCATTGCCATTGATCCGACAGAAGAGTACTTTGTTACAGGATCTGCTGAAGGCAATATAAAGGTAAATACAGTAATGCCACAGTATCTGCAAAATGCATAGAAATCTTCAGAAACCTTAAGTGTTTAATTGGATTGATGATACCAGTCTATTTAAATAATAGAAATATTAACTCCTACTTGTGGTCAACATGTTAGTTGCTATTTAATAAACCTTTTAATGAATGACATTTAACCTAAAAATGTCTTTTTCAATTGTTTTCAAATGTGCTTAATTAATGTGCAAAAGAACTTAATTTTCCACAGATACAAACATATTTCAGTCATTTGAATTAGTCTTGACTCCCATTTTCAGAGTCACTGAACTCAGTTTCAGGTACTGTGAAATATACTAACATTTCCCTTGATCCTGAATTACTCCCCTTTTTTAATTTATAGCATTAGCATCCAGCCACCCTGATTGACGAATTCTGAATATACCTGGATAAACCCTGTCCTTCTCAAACTCCACTGTGTTTAAATCTTAGAGGTTGTTTAAAATGTTAAGCAGCTTATTAAAATGCATCCCATTCTAGAAATACTGTTGCAGGGTCCCACCCCAGAGATACTCAGATGGTAACTCTAAAGCTCAGGAATGTCCTTTTTTATAATGCATACCTAGCAGTCTGGATGGAGGGTCCTCTGGCCACACTTGGAAAGATCTCCAGGGTTAAGTCAGTTTAGAAGTCCATAAGTTATTGTAATGGCCAGCAACCCACTGAAGGACTCTACAGTCTTAGAATCCATTGTTTTAAGCCCTAGTGAGAAAATTCAGTAAGAATAAGTTGGGCTACTTTGTTAGAACCTACATATTGTTTTCATAATTACCAGCCAGAAAAAATTATCTAGAATTTTGGAATTTGGAAAAGGCTTTTCAATCAATTATATATACCAACTTCCATACAGAATTCTTTTCCTTCCGTTTGAAGCTCATTTCTTATTAGAACTGCCTTCAGTGTAAAATAAGATGTATTATATTTTTGATTAGTTCTTTAGATTAGTTTGTGCTATGATCCTGAGGTTTATTATTTAATCAAGTAAAAAAAAGATTTGAAAGTATACCATGTAGTATTCAGAAGTCACAATTTAACAATCCTGTCTGGAGTAGTATGAGCTAAAGAATTTCTTGGAAAAAAAATATTTAAAAAATAGTGATCTCAAAAAATCAGAAATTAACTGGATTTCCCTAAACTTAAAATAGATGTCCTGAAAGCATTTAGGCCCTTTACATAAGTGAAGATGCTTATAAATTACTTTGTAAGTAATTTACTTCAGTAACAGGCACATTTATTTTGGTAGAGACTGAAAATAGAAAATCTCACTAAAGTATGTTAAAGTTGTGATCATTTATCTTGCAATTGGAACATAGTTTTGCCATTTCTGAGGCCCTCATTCCAGTGGTTCTAATCCTTTGCTGGGTATTATAAGAATAAAAAATAAAAAAGAATAGAAAGTTGAAATGTATACATTATAAACTATACAGCACGAGCTTTTCTTTTTTTCTTTTTTTTTAATTAATCCATGGTAATTTTCATTGCTTATTAATATATTACTGTGTTGGGGGAGCCTGGGTAACAGAGTAAATTGGTTTGGGGAAAGTTTTGGAAAATGCACTTTAACCCAAATGAAAAATACTTTACTGCTGAAAATTCAAATATGTGGCCTGTCAATCAACAAGTATTTTATATATAGGAGCCTTCTCATTTTTTATCTCCCAGTAAAGTTAACCGTGATATTTAGGTATCATTCATATTATGTACATATAATTTCACATACATATTATGTAGCAGCAGGTATTTTTGTATGATTTTAATTTGCATCACAAACACCTTACACACACATGAAGTAACAGCACTAAAAATGTAGGACTAGCTTTCAGGTTTTCCTAACCTGAGATTTATGTCCTTGTATTTTGGGGGATCATGAGACCACCTCACAGAAGGTATTGGCTTGTGTTTTTTTTCTTTTTCTTTTTCTTTTTTTTTTTTTTTTTTTAAGGATTTATTTATGTATTTGAGAGACAGAGCAAGTGAGCAAGCACCAGAGGGAGAGGGAGGAGGAGAAGCAGACTCCTCACTGAGCAAGGAGCCCGATGCAGGGCTGGATCCCAGGACCTGGAGATCATGACCGGAGTGGAAGGCAGTCGCTTAACTGACTGATCTTGAGTTCAACCAGATTAGCACAAGCTTTTCTGAAAGTCCCTATAGTATTACAAGTTTCTATAGTATTGTACACTTACCCTCCTCTACCTAAGTTCTTCTCTTAAATGCAAGGTAAAATACTTTCTAAATGGATGGATTTTGAAGAATAATAATATCAAAGGATTTGGAAAATAGCAACACAGGGTCAAAATGTTACGACCTTAGACTTACATAGAAGTGTATGTAAGAAAGAAAAGGTCTTAAAGAGGTCTAAATTTTTCATTTGGATTTTTAAGGTAATCATCAACCTCAATTTTTAATTTTTTTCCTAATGTCTTTCAGATTTGGAGTCTATCTACCTTTAGTCTTCTCCACACTTTTATCAATGAACATGCCCGGCAGTCCATTTTCAGAAATATTGGAACTGGAGTGATGCAAATTGAGACAGGACCAGCAAATCACATTTTTTCATGTGGAGCTGATGGAACAATGAAAATGAGGATACTGCCGGATCAGTTTAGCCCATTAAATGAAGTATTGAGAAATGATGTGAAATTTATGCTATAACATTTTGACAATAAGATGTATAATTTATTCCCTATTCCATGGAAGTGGCCAACACATACAATGTACAGTGATCACTGTCTCTGCCACAGATAAGCTAATGCTTTCTTGTTTTCATATTTATTTTACAGAGCTTTGCCCTTGATGCACTGATGCCTTAAAAATTAACAAGGTCATTCAGAATTAGACTATATTGCCTAAAATAAAATGTATAAGTAATACTGTAATAATACATATTTATAGTATGTTATAGTGAGTATGTCATAGTGTTAAAGGAGTTTTGTGTTCTGATTGTTGATAAACTCTTCTGCAGATGTCTCTGTATGAATTTAACAGTAAAAATACCCTTTATGTAAAGGCAGTTGACATCAGTCATCACTTAATTCACCATGCCCTTACTTCTTTTTTCAAACTAATACATCTCAAACTCTTCTTCTGTTAATGATAGATTGATAATTGGGCAAGAATAAAAAACATAATGAACATCTTCATTAAAAACTGTCATTGGGACTTCAGTGATATATGACCCAAGATATATAAAGTTCCCTGTTTCCTGCCTGAAGCCCAAGTGTGTTTGTATATATGTAATATATCTTACACATCTTATTTGGACTTAGTTTGTGTATATATCAGAGGAAATTACAAGTCTTTTCATGTGTTTTTGTGCCATAACAACTACTGCCACTAGAATAGCGACCTTTTTTGCAGCTGTCTTTTTCCATGTTTTTTTGTTTTTAGTTTTTTAATTCCCATCCTAATTTTCAAATAATTTCAGGAAGACATCCAAGATTATAATTTTAAAGATTATCTTGAGTCAGTTAAGTCTTAGCAGGCAATAATGATTCTTTGTTGGCATATATGAGACACTTAAAAGTAAGTTTATAAAATTGTCAAAGGATTTTAGAGCAGCAAACATTTTACTTCATCTTTCTTTCTTTTCTTTTTTTTTTTTGTTAGGTGCTTTTAGTCTCAAAGTTCTGAATACCTTATAGCAGTGTTTTTAGAAACAAATGTGAAAACAGTAAAATTAAATAGATAATATTTACAAATGTAAAATAACCTGCCAGATCTACCATTAATAGAAAATAAACTAAACCTTATATTTTATTATTTTTTTGCCAAAATACATTATTTTACTATAAAATATGACCAAAATATTAAAAATGCACAATGCTTTTAACTTAAATGTGCTAATAACCCTATTTCTGTCTGTTTTGTGCTACCTTTTCTGATTAAAAATTATAGACAACTTGATAAATACTTGATCTTAGCCAAGGAGACCGGAGGCAGATGGGACTAAGTGTTTAAGGGACAATTATATACTATGTAGCTTAAATATATTTTGTTAATAGGAATTATAAAAACATTTTTATGTAACAAAATATGAACAACTATTATCTTGGAAATTAAAGAGTCAAAGCAAAGAAATGAAGGGCTGGTAAAATGAATTTTGTAATATCCTCAGGATACTTTTATCTTAAAAGTATATTGTTAAAGATTTTGTAAATTGTATTCATAATTTTAAATGTGTTAAGCTAGTTGCAGTGAAAACACTGTCGTTGATTATGTAGAGAGTTTATGTGCACATAATAACCTGTATCTATAACCGTGCAATAACAGTAACAGTATGTGACTGTTTGGCTGCAGAGAGATCTGTGGCGGCATTGCAAACGATCCTGCGGTGTGCTGTAGTTCAGCTTAAGTTATTTTTCAGTAACTGCACAAATCAAGATTCAAAAGGCTTTAAACACTTTCAATGAGACAGAAAATTTATTATGCTTATTATTAGAAAAAAGGCATTGTGGATGAACAATTAAGCATTTTAATTGAGGGTTTATATGAGTAATAAATTATGTAAGCCCATATGTATTTACATCAGAGTCATAATATTTTAAATAAACAATCATGCAGTGACTTTTTTTAGCATGCTATTGTTTTAAGTAATATTATGCAACTTTAGTTGACTTAAAGGATATGTGACATTTTAAAGTAGAGAACTTCTGTATTTATATTTGGTAAATATAGAAAGGATTGAGTAGTTTTCCTGAACACCTTATTCTTCCTTTTCTATTATCTTTTTAACTTAATATATAAACATTATTCAAAAAAGGTAAGAATAAAAAGTTGAAATGTATATTTAAATATAAAGTGGTGTACATACATGTAAAATTTTATCCACATTAATGGAATGGGTACATCAAAATACATACGTTTTTTAAATTGTGCATTTTCTGAGAATGTGGCTTTGTAATGACAGAAAAGTTTACAACATTGCAAGTCTCATTTTCTGAAGTGAAGGATTTTTCTTTTTTTTTTTTTTTTTTTTTTTTTTTTTTGACAGAGAGAGATCACAAGCAGTCAGAGAGGCAGGCAGAGAGAGGAGGAAGCAGGCTCCCCGCCAAGCAGAGAGCCCGACGCGGGGCTCAATCCCAGGACCCTGAGACCACGACCCGAGCCGAAGGCAGCGGCTTAACCCACTGAGCCACCCAGGCGCCCCTGAAGTGAAGGATTTTTCTAATGTAGAATCATGAGACAGTCAAGTCCATCCCCCTTTCTTGTTCTCTTTACTTTATCCAAATTTATTTCTCCTTTTTTAAAAAATTACTTAAGAAATTGCAAGAATTTCTCACACTGGTCTCAACAGTCAGAGTACAATACAAAGATGTCCACTATAAGAAAATCCTTATACAATTTTAAAGTGGTGATGATCTTTTTAACAGGGTTGGAAAGCCAGATCTATTTCACTAAACAAAAAGATGTAATGGCATGAAAGGGGACCATCGTCAAAGTTAAAAGAACAGGTAGACTATAAGAACTATTTGTATAGTAATAGGAAAATTATTAATGTCCATATATGTAAAGAGAACTTTGAAGTTGTTGGAGAAATCAATTCATAGAACAGGACATTGAAAAAGTCAGAAAGTATAAAGTATGCTCCTCCTAATGGTTAAAGGAATGTTAAAAAAAGAAAAAAAGCAACAATGTGATACCGCTTGTCATCTGTCAGATTGGTATAAAGTCAAGGAACAACATCAGTTTGCTAGAGCTGGAAGGAAACAGGCACCCTGAAACACTGCCGGTAGGAGTAAGTTGCCACAGAGTCACCTAGATACATGTCAAGTTTGAATATATGTACTTTCACTAAGTAGTCTTACTTTTGAGAAATTATCCTATAAAGATAAAAGCACCTATGCACATAAATATGTGTACATAGATGTTTATTGAGCTATCTGGAGGGGGAAAAAAAAACTAGAAATCTAAATGTTAATTGGTTGGTAAATGGTTAAATAAATTGTCAAACATCCCTGAAATTGAATATTCTCTCAGCACTAAAAGAATGCCAGATTTGTATCTGTTGATCCGAAAATAGGTTAGTGAGAAAGATTTCTAAGTTAAAGGTAAATATCCCATATATTATTTCAGGTTTTTCAGTCCTATATGTATATACAGACAAAGAAATATGTATGGAGGATACACAAAACTATAACTTGGGAAAAGGGAAGAATGAACTAATACTTTTCCAAACTCCTTTATTTTTTATTATTTTTTTAAAGATTTTATTTATTTATTTGACACAGAGAGAGAGAGAGAGAGAGCACAAGTAGGCAGAGAGAGGGGGAAGCAGGCTCCCCGCCGAGCAGAGAGCCTGATTCGGGGCTGGATCCAGGACCCTGAGATCATGATCTGAGCTGAAGGCAGAGGCTTAAACCACTGAGCCACCCAGGTGCTCCTTCCAAACTCTAAACCCCACTGAGTAACAGGATACCAAAGAGAGATCTGTATCTTTAAACCACATAGTACTTAATGACTGAGAGCTGCTCTGTTGAATGAAGCAGACGTGTCAAGAATACTCTTTGGATTGAGCTATTTTGTTGCTTGATATTTATTTAAGTAGAAAGGTTAAAATGTTGCCCTTTGGACTACTTGGAAAAAGTTGAACATACATTACTTAAATGTCTTCTAGAGGTGTGTATCTTTTGCTATAGTCTGTATTTCAGTGTTTCATGACATGTCCCCCTGCTGCCTGCTTGTTTGTATATGAGGCCAGTAATTGAAGGAGCTCATGCAGTCAGAGTATCACATGATTTCACAAGGCTCCTGGGAGTAAGAAATTATTTCTTAGGTTCTCCCACCGCAAATATAGATAGGTGACAGAAATCATTTGTGTGACAATCCATTTCTTTCCACAGTAGAGATGTTTTACCCCTGCACAACTGTCCACCCTGTGTAGGTCTGACCTGTGTGACAGAATTTAAGCAATACAGTACATCAGCTCCAGATAAGTGTTGAATCATTTTATAATCTACATCCCTCCCCACATACACAGGACTCCCCAGAACTCCAGTATTTTCATCCTGTTAATTGCTTCCAGGTGAGGCTTGAGCACCCATTATCAAAATCAGGTCCAAGTGTATATTTGGTTCCTTGGGTGAGGTTCCTTGTGTTGAGTACTTCTCAGTCTAAAGACCTATGAACTAAGGGGACAAGTTATGTGCCTTGCACACACCAAACACACAGTTGTGAGACAGAGATACATGACTATCTCCCACTCTAAAAGAGGGCAAATGGGAGTCATACAGTAGTACCTGGTCCATAGAAATTCTGAAGTTTAGCTGAGAAGTCACCAGTCCCTTGAGTAATCCTCAAATTAATTCTCCACAACTCTTGGCTCCATCCTTGGGCTGTTTTTTCTTTCAAACTCTGAGTGAGCTTTTTTCTGTAAAAGTGGCCCATGGTTTTTTTTTTTGTTTTGTTTTGTTTTGTTTTTGTGGCCCATGTTTTTAACTGATAAGAGTATCAGCCTGTTTCTTGGCAAGAGTTGTTTCAGGGTACAGAGTCCTCTTTTCATTTTGTGCTATCCCTATTCCTTATAGTTCAGTCCAGTAAAATTGCTTTAAAAACTTGCTGTGTTTCTCCTGTATTAACTTCACTTAATCCACTAAGAAAAAAGCTACACTCATACATTTTTTTCTGACATGGGCTCTCAATAACCTTGAGCTACCCCAAGGTTGTTGTGGTATACCATATTAAGATTCTTAGAAATTCTAATATCTCTTAAAAAGGGTCTGCATGGCACACCCTTAAATTTTTCTGAGATGTCAACAAAAGGACAACACAACATTGGCCATGTCTCTTATTAGAAGACACTATATAATCACTACAATTTTGGATAATTTAAAAAAATATATCTATGAGGCCATTGTTAGGAAGACACAGACTCATGTATGCTCACACACACACACACACATGCACACACGCACGTAACCTACACATAGAAGGAGCTAGTCCAACAACTCTACTCTGAAGACTGGTAATTGGAGAGAAAAGGGAGAGGCTGTTACAGGAAAAAAAGAGCCCACCAGGTGAGGGTGCCATGCTGGGATCCTTCCTGGTTTAAAAGTGCAGGGTTGCCAACTTGGATTAGCATTTCATGGGTAAGTACACAGGAGAACTCCAGGGGCTTTAGACCGTATTTGTAGAAAAACATATTTTCAAAGCAGAATTACACAAAGACAAGACAAAACAAAACTAAGCTTTGTAGTATTTGGGATAGGCTCAAGTGAGATTTGAGATAGTCAAAAAGAAGAAAATAAAGAAGCCACATAGACAAGGAGTCCAGTGGGCAACCATGGAAGAATAACTGGGGGCAGCACTTTAATTTCTATAGCTCAAAGGTTGAACACCTGGAAACATGGAGACAACTCATTTTCATTGGGGGTGGTGGTGGTTGACAGAATTGTCTAAGATTGTGGATAAAGTCACCCTTTGATGGAGGCAATAGTTCTAGCAAGCTTTCTTCTGAAGAGGTGTGTTTTAGTGACGGTTATCATAGAAGGTAAGTAATTCTGAATAAAGAGTTAAAAATACTCTGTGGTGAAGGTATAATCACCAGTGACCTGTACTAGCTGTCGGGGGGGGGTCTATGTAAGTCATAGGAAAGATTATTGATCCCTAAATTTTTATTCTATCCTTGAGTTTCTGGTTTGCCTGACATTGAACAATTCTCCTACCTGACCTAATCTTCACCTTTATTTGGAAAAATGTATATACCCTTTACTCATGTGGTTACATTAAGGACAAGATTACATGTTATGATAATGCCCTGAGAAGAGAAATAGGCCCGGAAAGAGGTGAAGCAGCGGGCCATCAGATAATCAGTTGGGAGGGTGGTGAAGTTACAGCCGTGTTTGGAATCAGGCACGTTCATTAACAGACTTGCATGAAAATGTGTTTAAAGCACAAAGGCTACATGGGCATTTCCCTTGGCTGTGTTTAATGGGCACAGCCTTGCTTCAGTGCTTTTAGCCTGCTGGAAAATGTGAGACCTGATCTTCCTTTTCTCTCTCCACACTACCCGGAGTGCCCTTCTCTCTGCTGGAAAACTCCAGTTCATCCTTTTTGGGTGGAAGGTCCTTTGTGAAATCTTCCCCGTTCATCCAGGGAATATGAGCCACTTCCACTCTCCTCCCAGAGTATGTGTGCATACATTTTTATTGCACATATCACGGTATCAAGGAGTTTTTTGCTTGCACTTAAAAAAAAAAAACAAAAAACCCTGCTGTTCAGTAACTATAGTCGAGGCTTCAAAGAGAGGAGAGTACAGGAGAAACAGAATCAGAAGATTTTTTAAAACTTACAAATACGTTTAAGGGCACCCGGGTGACTCAGTTGGTTAAGCGTCTGCCTTCACCTCAGGTCATGATCCCAGGGTCCTGGAATCGAGCCCCGCATTGGGCTCCCTGCTTAGCAGGTAGTCCTCTCTCTTTCTCCCTCTACCCTATCCCCCAGCTCGTTCTCTCTCTCTCTCTCTCTCGTTCTTGCTCTCTATCTCAAAATCTTAAAAAAAAAAAAGTATCTAAAGTTAGTTCCTACCTTTAGCTGGGTAGAAGCAAAAACAGGCATGCACAGAGGTATTTTGGGTAGGCAGCAAGAGATCCAGCTATCTCTACTTCGTGTGATTTATAGGGTGTTAGGGTCTTGGGTCTTGGAGTTTTGGCCTGGGAGGATCCAGACAGAGCTGCAAGGATTTATAAAATATGCGTAGCCACTCACTAATAGACTAGTGATTAGAAGATTCTTAGATTCTAATACTTTTTTTTTTTATGACCCCACATTGGAAATACCCAAGAGCTAATTTGAAAATGAAGTGATCCAAGTGTTTATTTGCTCGAGCAGGATAGGAAAGTTAATATCTTTGCTAACTTCTAAATATTATCATTCTGTGAATATGGTGGAAGAATAATAGTTCTTTAAGACAGTAATGCAAGTTGCCTGAGATTGTAGAGTCCCCTCCCTTCCCTAGACCCCTTAAATAAGCCCTGAGATGATGGCCGGTCTGCATGTTTCTATGAGCAGCACCTGTGGCCTCTCAGGTCTAGATGGCCCTAGTAAAGTGGGTTGTAGTGAATGAAGGTAGCAGCGTCCATGGAAAATTTTTAACTTTGCATTCTTTCTTTATTCTTAGCATTTTAAAAAGATTTATTTTAAAGCGAGAGAGAGTGCAAGTGGGGCAGGAGCTGAGGGAGAAGGAGAATCCCAAGCAGACCTCACACTCAGCAGGGAACCTGACATGGGATTCCATCTCATGACCCTGAGATCATAAAACCTGAGTGGAAATCAAGAGTTAGTTGGTCACTTAACCGACTGAGCCACCCACTCAGGCTCCCCAAAAGTTTTGCAAGGAAAGTATAGAACTTGAGAAGTTGAGGACAAAAGGGACACTTGGGTGGCTCAGTGGGTTAAGCGGCTCCTTTGGCTCAGGACATGATCCTGGGATCCTGAGATTGAGTGCTGCATGGGGCTCCCTGCTCAGCAGGAAGTCTGCTTCCCCCACCTCCCCTGCTTGTTCTCTCTCTCATAAATAAATAAATAAAATCTTTACAAAAAGAGAGACAGAAGGGATATTTAACTGAATGCAGCCCATGTAAGATAGAAGCAAGGGCTCTGGGGGGACCCAAAGAACTGGTGAGAGGGTTTACTCTGATCCTCTGGGATGAGAGGAAAGGAAACCACGATGAGTGGATGTAGATGGTATTTTTGCTAGCTCCAACAGGAAGTCGAGAAAACTATTGCTTATCTGTATATTTTATATTAGCAGGTAGGGATATCGAGAGCAGGAAGAGCAAGGGATGGGAAAGATGTCTCAAGGAAAGAGGTAAAAATTGAACCCCCTTCATACTCTTGTGATGCAGGAGGGTATCTAGGCCGCACACAGACTTAGCTGAGATTAGAGATCATGTGTCTGTAGACAATTAAGTTCACCTTTTCGGGTTCTTCTTGAGTCCATATCGAAAATATGGTTGATTGGAAATTTGCCAGGTTAGTACAAGGAAAGGACGATGAAGTAAAGGAATAGGAGGAGGCACTAGCAGTGACTGGCTGAAGTGTTGGCTGTTGGCGTTAGGCTAGGTAGGAGAGGAAGCTGGGAGAAATGCAAGTGTATGTGAGGCAAAGGAAGAGTCAAAAATTAAGCCAAGGATAAGAGACTAGTCCAGGTGTAGAATGTTGAAAACAGGGGCACCTGGGTGGCTCAGTCGTTAGCACCGCCTTTTGGCTCAGGTCATGATCCCAAGGTCTTTTTTTTTTTTTTTTTTTTTTAAATATTTATTTGACAGAGAGAGAGATCACAAGTAGGCAGAGAGGCAGGCAGAGAAGCAGGCAGAGAGAGGGGGGGAAGCGGGCTTCTTGCTGAGCAGAGAGCCCGATGTGGGGCTCGATCCCAGGACCGTGAGATCATAACCCTGGCCGAAGGCAGAGGCTTAACCCACTGAGCCACCCAGGTGCCCCGATGATCCCAAGGTCTTGAGATGGAACCCCCGAGTTGGGCGCTTTGCACAGCAGGAAGTCTGCTTCTGCCTCTGTCACTTCCCCTGCTCATGCTTTCTCTCTCTGTCAAATAAATAATTAAAAAAAAAAAAAAAAAGGAATGTTGAAGATAGATTGTAGAGCCGTGAAAAAGATAGAAGGGGCTCTGGGCAGTGCTGTTTTAGGGTGCAGCTGGGAACAAGGGAGACAGGAGTGAAGCAATGGGGACAGTTCCTGGAGCTGAGTTTGGAGGCACCATGACCTCCTGGCTGACTCTCACAGCAGTCATGCCGACAGTCGCCTCCTCCTATCTCAGCAGAAGCGAGGCACGTTGTCCTAAGTCATCCAGTTTATATGCGGCAGATAGATTACCACAGTTCTCAGTTGGTGGTGACAAATATGACTGCCCATGGACATTCAGGCAGGAATCATTTCTAATTATTTGGGGGTGGGGAAGGATGGGAGTGTACAAACTCTGTTAATCCTAATTTAGTTGCACCACTGCAGAGTCAAGAAGAATTTAGACAGTAAATGTCTTTGTCCCTCCCTCTAATGGGTGGCACCACCAAAGACACAGCCTGCCAAACCAGAAACCCTATGAATCAACCTAGATGACTCTCCTTCTCTCAACCCCCACATCCCATCAATCTCCAGGCCTTCAGCATCTGTATGAGTTTCCTATTACTGTCACAACAAATTACCACCAATATAAGGTTTTAAAACAACATAAATTTATTATTTTACAGTACTGTAGGTCAGAATTCCAGTGTGGATCTCAACAGGATAAAATCAGAGTGTCACCTCAAGAGCTGAGTTCCTATCTGTAGGCTCTGAGGGAGGATTCCCTTTCCCCTGCTCAGTTGGGTTACTGGCAGAGTTCACTTCCTTGTGGCCGCAGGACCGAGATTCCCACTTTTTATTGGCTGAGATCCATTTCCAACTTTTAGAGGCCACCCATTCCTTGGCTTCTGAACTAGGTCCAGTTCCTCTCATATTTTGAATCTCTTAGACCCACTTTTTCACTTTACAGACTCACATGATTAGATTAGACCCACTCAAATAATGCAGCATAAGCTCCCCATCACATTGTCTTTACACATAAGCACATCTGCAAAGTGTTCCAGGGATTAGGGAGTGGACATCCGTCCCAGATTCAATATTCTGCCTACCACAGTATCCCAACCTGTCATATTTCAGTAACTTCCTAAGCAAGTTTCCTGGCTCTGGCATTCTCTTTGCTGTTTTTCAGAATAACCTTTCTGGAACAACATGTCCCCCATGATTAAAATCCTTCTGGCTTTCTACTACCCAAGGGTCAAATTAATGCTGTTTAGCTCCTATAGTGGGAAATTTCCTCCTCTCTCTCTCTCTCTCTCTGCCTGCCTCTCTGCCTGCTTGTGATTTCTCTCTCTGTGTGTCAAATAAATAAAATCTTTAAAAAAAAAAAAAAAAAGAAAATAGAGAAGTAGATAAAGGATATAATCAAGTCAGTTTATGGGGCGCCTGGGTGGCTCAGTGGGTTAAGCCGCTGCCTTCGGCTCAGGTCATGATCTCAGGGTCCTGGGATTGAGTCCCGCATCAGGCTCTCTGCTCGGCAGAGAGCCTGCTTCTCTCTCTCTTTCTCTCTGCCTGCTTCTCTGCCTACTTGTGATCTCTCTCTGTCAAATAAATAAATAAAATCTTTAAAAAAAAAAAATCATTAAAAAAAAAAATCAAGTCAGTTTACGAAACAACTATGCATGACCAACAGTCCTGACTAATAATTAAAGAAATACATATTAAAATTAGCCTTTTTTCTGTATACCAACAAATATTTAAAATTTTAGTAATCACTGTTGACTAATGTGTAAGAAAAATAGGTGTATGAATTGATATTACCACTAAAGATTAAATTTTAGCTTCACCTGCCAGTGTTAAATGATGCTATTTGACAAAGCTTTTCCATTTCTAAATATCTATACTACATAAATACTCAAAGGTTTATATACCAGAATATTTATTTATTTTAAAGGTTTTATTTATTTATTTGAGAGAGGGAGCGAGATGGAAAGAGACACAAGTGGGGGTGGGGAGACAAGCAGAGGGATAAGCAGACTCCCCACTGTGCAGGGAGCCTGACACTGGATTTGCTCTCAGGACCCTGAGATCATGACCTGAGCCAAAGACAGATGCTTAACCAACTGAGGCCACCCAGGCGCCCCTGTACCAGAATATTTAAAGGAGCACTTGGCATTAGGGAAAATTGAAAACTGTCCATAAATGAAAAAGCTTTCAAACAAGTCATAATGCAACATATAGTTTAATACTACACTGCACAAGAATGAAGTAGATTAAATGTACTAATATGAAGAGATGGCTATAACAGGTAAAAAATGTAATTGTAGAACTGTATATTTATTATGATTCTCATTTTTTTAAAAACCCTGTGTGAATATTGGACTATTCATAGAATAGATTTGAAATGGAACACATCACATTGTTAATAGTTTCTAGATCTGGAGATGGGGGAGGGCAAGAGTCCGAAGTAGACATTCTTTTTATATTATAAACTGTATATGTTATTTTTATAACCTAAAGAAAAAAATGCTTAGTCTTCCTTATCCTTTTATATCTGTAACATACACTCCCTCATTGAATAATTTTGACATTTTCTCAATCAGATTACCCTGAGTTCCCATAGTGGGAATTCTTGTTTTGTTTCATTTTACTTTCTACTCTTATTGACACATTTTTCTTATATATTTCTGGAAGTCCTTATTTTTTCTTGGTCATAATGACAGTTTTCTATTTTATATATACTAAACATTTGTTGCATGACTTAATGTGTAAATCTATTATCCTATTTTTTGAGTACTTTTAGATAATATATAGACTCTGCTTTTGGTTAGTATGATAAAGTGTATGTCTGATGTTTGCTTATTCTGTGTGACCTGGTATTTTCTTAAGCAGCAGCTAACTTTTTCTGGACTAGATCCATGAATCGGTGAAGTAAAAGTCCATTTATCAACAAAATATTTGAGATCAAAATATGGGATTCACAACGGGGGCATGGGTTGATATGTACTTTTGTATTAGTATTAGAAACTTAAAAAAATGTTTTTCTCTAAGTTTGGAATAGTTGATGCTGACGGATATTTAAGTTTGTATCAAACAAACTGGAAATGTTGCCCAGTAACTGGAAGCATGCCTAAGCCATACCTGGTAAGCCAAAAATTCTTACCTTTAAACTTTTTTGAATTTTTATTTTATTTTATTTTTGTTATTTTTCAGAGAGAAACAGAGTCAAGGGAAGGGCAGGGGAGAGAGAATCCCAAGCAGGCTTCATGCCTAGCATAGAGCCCTACATGAAGCTTAGTGTCATAACCCGGAGGTCACAACCTGAGCCGAAATTAAGAGTGGGATGTTTAACTGAGCCACCCAGATACCCCTTGAATTTTTATTTAATTTAATTAATTTATTTATTTGACACAGAGAGCAAGCAAGCACAAACAGGCAGTGGAGAAGCAGGCTCCCCACTGAGCAAGGAGCCCAATGCGGGACTCTATCCCAGGACCCCTGGGATCATGACCTGAGCTGAGGTCAGATACTTAATGGACTGAGCCACCCAGGCGCCCCTGAATTTTTGTTTTAAAGAAATCAGGAATATACATTTGAGGCAATAAATATTAAAGCCAAAAAGTGAAATCTCTTTAGTTCTATGTATACAATCAATTTACTATAAACTCCTGTCATTGTGTTATTTGAAAATTAATCTGTGAGGTTTAAAAATTCTTAGTCTCTGGTAATTTGGAAAATTAACCTGTATTGAACAAACGTGGTACCTCCAGAGACCCATGCAGCCTGTGGGTTACTCAAGCCCTTTTCCATCCTCACTAGGCTACAGTGGGGATTATACCTAAAAAGAATGATCAACAGACTATGCATCTGCTGGGGTTGTTTTGTTGTTGTTGTTGTTTGTTTGTTTGTTTTTGCAATTAGCCCTTACAAACAAAGTAGAAAGGATATGTTAAAGCTGGCACAATTATTTTCTTGCCCATGTCTTTTCTTTTCTTTCTTTTTTTTAAGATTTTATTTATTTATTTGAGAGAGAACAGAAGGAGGAGCAGAGGGAGAGGGACAAGCAGACTCCACACTAAGTGCAGAGCCCAACGTGTGGCTCGATCTCACAACCCTGAAATCATGACCCAACTGGAAATTAAGTGTCAGAGCTTAATTGACTGAGCCACTCAGGTGCTTCTTGCCCTGTCTTTTTAAAAAAAATTGATACATCTCTATTCGGGACTGCACAAGCATAATGAACCTTGTGCAACTTCAGAGAACACTGAGTTTGTATTTAACATATTTTTAGTATATGTGCTGCCGAAATGAGCACTAATATATTTTTCAGTGAAGCCCCTTATAGGACTAAGCAATACCTATTAGGAGAATATTGAGAATATAAGTTAAGGTTCTAATAATTCACTCAAGATTAAATTCTGGGATATGGTACTGATTTAAACAAAAGCAGGCAAGGGGATGGTTGGTGAGAGTACTTTGCAATAATATTTTTCCTCATTTTTTTATTAAGCCAGTGGATTTAAATACATGTTTATATTCCCTTATGGGCTGCCTCTTTTTTTCTTTTTTAATAAATTGGATTGGAAATGTACATTATTGGTTTTGGGGGTTAAAGTGTATTTTGTTTGTTCTAAGGACATATCTAGGGGTAGTCAGGGTAGTCAGGGGAAATGGGGAAGTGACTCAAAGGAAAAATCTTTTATGTGTTGATTTTGATATAGTTAAAAAAATCATTTTTTATTGAAGAGAAACATCTGAACAAGTAAGCTTGGAAATCTTTGTAATAGACTAGACCTCTCATATTAAGTTACTATTTGATGGAGTGTTCACAAACATTGTAAATTTTCTAGTTTTGTTGACTTAATAATATGTTTATATTCACACATTTGAAAAAATATTTGATTACAACAGACTTTTAACTAAAGGAAACAAACTGAGGGTTGCTGAAGGGGAGGTAGGTGGGGGGATGGGGTATCTGGGTGACACACATAAAGGAGGGCACGTGATGTGATGAGTACTGGGTGTTTCACGCAACTGATGAAGTATTGAATCCTACATCTGAAACAAGTGGTGTGCTGTATGTTGGCTAACTGAAATTAAATTAAAAAAAGAAAAAATTATTTAAGAGTTTAAACATTTCTGAAAACAAATAATTTAGTCTGAGATAATCTAAAATTCTAGTTTTTTTCTAAGAAAAAAAATTCTCACAGATATTGAGAAATATTAAACAGTTAGCTTCCTTTTGTTTTCTTTTGAACTTTTAGATGAACAAAAGCACAGGGTCTCGTAAAGACTTATAATGCATATGGTTCAGGGAAGTTGTGTGTGTGAGAGAAAGAGAAAAAGAGAAGGAGAGGCAAAACATGTGCCACGTGTTCAAAATTGGTGAATTGGATAAATGGTATATGAAAATTCTCTGTATTGCTTTTGAAACTTGTCTAAAGTTTGGAGGGAAAGACTCAAAAGGTTTAAGTAAGCCACAGATTACATGATCCCTTTTTTATTAATGCACCTACTTGGTTATAAAATTGCTAGTGACAGCAGTAACATTTGTTTGTTTCTAACTGTTGCAGACTTGGCAGTGTCACAACAAAACAGCCAATGATTTTGTCTTTGTTAGTTCCTCCTCTTTGATAGCTACAGCTGGTCTTTCAACTGACAATAGGTAAGAGATTATAACTGAAATTTGTGTGTGCATCTGTATAGCTGAACTTTATTTTTTACTCGCTTTGCATTTTTGTGTCTCAAGAATGTTTTCACAATTATGCTTTTCAATATTTTATTATAAAGACTTGTTACTTAGAGTAGGGAAATTTTGGTGGCCTTAAAAACAAAATCCATTCCTTCTGTATTATTAATATTGCAATGTTAAGACTTCAGGAAAAAAGAATTTGATAGTGAAATTAATTTTTCTCCATATTATTCCTTATATGTTAAGAAAGCTTGAGGCAAAAAAGAAGAACTATTATTTATTGGTCCAGCTTTTTCATTAATCCTCATGGTGGCTCTCTTAGGTAGGTATTATTAGTGTTTCATGATAAAAAAAAAACAACTAGAAACTCAAAAGACTTTTTAGTTGAACAGTAGCTAGTGAGTGTCAGCCTATCCCCATCTCCCCCAAAACCTTAAATATGTAAGAAGATGTCTCCTCCTGCCTCAGTCCACAACACCCCGTTTCACTTCCCTTATGCAGCAGAGTTCTGCTGAGGTTGCTGAGCTTTTCTATTTATCTCTGAAGCCTTACTTTGCACTACAAATTGGAATGTAGGAATATGGAGTCTTCAGCCCATCTTGGATAGAAATTCTTGCGTATGTTAGTGCCTCCTTTGCCACTCATAGAAAGGAGTAAAAGCTACTCCCATTCATAGCAGAAATAAGTTTTCTTTGTGTTCCAAAAAAATTCAGTGTGTCCTGCTATTGGTATATGTCAGTCCATCTGTCAGATTAGAGAATCAACAAATACAAAAAGTAGTTTCTGTATTCAGGCCTTATATAGCATTATTTGTAAATAAGTGCCAGTCTAAAGTTACTTAGTTTTTTAGGTTAGTAATTTTTTGAATTTTGTGTGAAAATTAATCATGCATAAATACATTGGTTACTTGTATTTGGTTCTTTTATAAATTTAAGAACTTTTTATGAGAACAAGGTTCAAATGTTAATATAACTATATGAGACAGCTTATTTTTTATTATGTTGTTAAAATTTTGTGTCATTCAAATAATTTTTTTTTTCAGGAACATATGTTTGTGGGATACTCTTGTAGCACCTGCCAATAGTTTAGTCCATGGTAAGTTTTGAAAGCATTTTGTAAATTCTGCAAGTCAAGAAATTCATAAAGTAAGAGAATTTTTTAATGGCTTGTCTTTAATGACATATATTTATTAGCCTCTGAGGTTTATTTTGCCCACAGTGGCGCAAACTTTGAAAGCAGAAAAATGCAAGATATGTAATTAACTCTTTACTATACCTGATGAAGGATAGTAGTAGAACATAGATAATATAAAAGTCATGTTTTTACTTTGGATCTGATAACCACTCCTACTCTGCATTGTACTGGGAGTCCTAACAAATGCAGTAACACAAGAAAAAGAATTAAAAGGTATACATTTGGAAGACGAGTAATAAAACTGCCTTTATTCACAGATGACATGATTGTGTAGAAAATCTTAAAGAATCTACAAAAAAAAAAAAGAAACTTTTGGAACTAATGTGCAAGTATAGTAGAATCACGGGATACTAGGTCAATATACTAAAGTCATTTGCTTTCATATACACCAGCAATGAACAACTGGGATTTGAAAGTTTTAAAAATCACCATTTATAATAGCACCCAAAATAATGACATACTAAGATGTAAATATAACAAAATACATATAGCCTCGTTGGGGAAAACTATAGAAAAAAAATCAGAGATGTAAATAAATGGAGAGCTAGTCCATATTCAGTGTTGTTAGCCAATGTTGTTAAGATGTCAGCACTTCCCAACTTTACAAATTAAATGCAATCCTAATCAAAGTCCCAGCAAACTGTATTGTACATATCAACTGGTTCTAAAAGTTCCTATAAGGAGGCAGCAGGCCTAGAATACTGGATACTGAGAAAAAAACAAACTTGAAGAACTCACACTACCTGATTTCAGGACTTACTATAAAACTACAGTAATGAAAGACATTATGTATGGGTTAGAATAGATAGAGATCACAGAACAGAAACTAAACCTTCTGGAAGGAATTATAGGAAAAGATCTGGGTGACCTTAGGTTTAGTCCTGCGTTTTTAGATACAACCTCTAAAGCACTGTCCATGAAAGAAATGATATATTCAAGACTTTAAAATTACCCTCTCCTTAGTATCTACATGGCAAGTAAGCATATGAATATGTACCTAACATCAGTATTCATTAGGGAAATGGAAACTAAATTCCCCATAAGATACTATTCTATACCCTAAAATGGCCAAAGTCAGTGATTCTAGAATACCATGTGTTGGCAAGGACATAGAGAACTTGGAACCCTCATGGTTTGCTGAATGAGTATAAAAGGGTACAGCTGCTTTGGAAAACTGATTGGCAGTTTCTAACGAAGTTAAACATTCACCTATATATATACCCCAAAGAAATGAAAATACATGCCCACAAAAAGACTTGTATAGGAATGTTCTTAGCAGCTTTATTTATAAAAGCCAAAAACCAGGAACAACACAAATATGTCCACCAGGAACCTGGTCTATTTATGTAATAGAATACTATTAAGCAATTTAAAAAAGGCATGGCCTACTACTGATACATGGGACAACATTCATTAACCTCTAAAACATGTTGAAGGAAAAGAAGCCAGGCACAATAGAGTATATACCACAAAATTCTACTTATGTGAAGTTCAAGAACAGGTAAAAGTAATCAGATAGAAATCAGACTAGTGATAGCCGTTGTGAGAGAGGAAAGCTGACTACAGAGAGGCATGAGGGAACTTTCTGGGATGACGACAGCATTCTGTGTCTTTAATTGAGTAATGGTTACACAGATGTCTCCATTTGTCAAAGCTATTCAGAGGTAAACACTTAGAATTTCTGCATTTAACACTGTATAAGTTATATCTCAAATTACTAGTAAAACTCAAAAAATCCTTCTCTATAATTTTTTCTTCAGATTCTTAAAATAAGTATATTGAGTACTTAGTATATGCCTCACACTCTACATGTTTTGACTATACTAACTAATTTAATCCTCACACAAACTTATTAAGCAGGCTGGATTGTCTCTTTTTACAAATGATGAAACTGAGACTTAACATTAAAAGAAAAAAAAGTAATTCACCTAAGTTATACATTTAAACCCATGCAAAAAACCAAGATTTATATCTTGACATCCTGACTCCCAAATCTTCATCTTTATGCCATATTGTCTTTGAGCTGTTTATAGATGTTTGTTTCCCTGAAATTTGTTAGGCTAGACTTTTTTTTTTAAGAAAAAAATATTCATTGTATTTATGTATTTGACACAATATTGATATGTCTTCAAGTTCACCAGTTTGGGTTTTTTTTTTTATGGCATTGTTTAATCTGCTCTTAATCCAATGCAGTGTATTTTTCATTTTAATATTACAGTTTTTAATCTCTGGACCTTTTATTTTTATCTCCTTTTTTATATCTTTCATGTCTCTACTTAACAAGCTTGATCTTTCATCCAGCTGTATGAAATGACAGTTGTATGGCTCACTCCTACCTTGCTTCCCATCTCTTAGAGATCATTTTTCTTTGCCTGATGTCCAGTGCCCCAAACCATTGTTTCCTATATATCATTTTATTTTTTAAATTGTTTCAGGTAGGTGGGTAAACCTGGTGATCTATTGTTCTACATTGGCCAGAAGCCAGAAGTCTGTTTCTTATACCATTAAATGGTTTTTCCTTTTCTATTTTATTTTATTTTTACTTTATTTTATCTTTTAGCTTTTACATGCCATGATAGTGGAGCTACTGTTTTAGCATATGCTCCAAAACATCAGCTATTAATATCAGGCGGCAGGAAAGGCTTTACATGTGCATTTGACCTTCGGCAACGACAGCAAAGGCAGCTTTTCCAGAGCCATGATTCTCCTGTTAAAGCCATTGCCATTGATCCGACAGAAGAGTACTTTGTTACAGGATCTGCTGAAGGCAATATAAAGGTAAATACAGTAATGCCACAGTATCTGCAAAATGCATAGAAATCTTCAGAAACCTTAAGTGTTTAATTGGATTGATGATACCAGTCTATTTAAATAATAGAAATATTAACTCCTACTTGTGGTCAACATGTTAGTTGCTATTTAATAAACCTTTTAATGAATGACATTTAACCTAAAAATGTCTTTTTCAATTGTTTTCAAATGTGCTTAATTAATGTGCAAAAGAACTTAATTTTCCACAGATACAAACATATTTCAGTCATTTGAATTAGTCTTGACTCCCATTTTCAGAGTCACTGAACTCAGTTTCAGGTACTGTGAAATATACTAACATTTCCCTTGATCCTGAATTACTCCCCTTTTTTAATTTATAGCATTAGCATCCAGCCACCCTGATTGACGAATTCTGAATATACCTGGATAAACCCTGTCCTTCTCAAACTCCACTGTGTTTAAATCTTAGAGGTTGTTTAAAATGTTAAGCAGCTTATTAAAATGCATCCCATTCTAGAAATACTGTTGCAGGGTCCCACCCCAGAGATACTCAGATGGTAACTCTAAAGCTCAGGAATGTCCTTTTTTATAATGCATACCTAGCAGTCTGGATGGAGGGTCCTCTGGCCACACTTGGAAAGATCTCCAGGGTTAAGTCAGTTTAGAAGTCCATAAGTTATTGTAATGGCCAGCAACCCACTGAAGGACTCTACAGTCTTAGAATCCATTGTTTTAAGCCCTAGTGAGAAAATTCAGTAAGAATAAGTTGGGCTACTTTGTTAGAACCTACATATTGTTTTCATAATTACCAGCCAGAAAAAATTATCTAGAATTTTGGAATTTGGAAAAGGCTTTTCAATCAATTATATATACCAACTTCCATACAGAATTCTTTTCCTTCCGTTTGAAGCTCATTTCTTATTAGAACTGCCTTCAGTGTAAAATAAGATGTATTATATTTTTGATTAGTTCTTTAGATTAGTTTGTGCTATGATCCTGAGGTTTATTATTTAATCAAGTAAAAAAAAGATTTGAAAGTATACCATGTAGTATTCAGAAGTCACAATTTAACAATCCTGTCTGGAGTAGTATGAGCTAAAGAATTTCTTGGAAAAAAAATATTTAAAAAATAGTGATCTCAAAAAATCAGAAATTAACTGGATTTCCCTAAACTTAAAATAGATGTCCTGAAAGCATTTAGGCCCTTTACATAAGTGAAGATGCTTATAAATTACTTTGTAAGTAATTTACTTCAGTAACAGGCACATTTATTTTGGTAGAGACTGAAAATAGAAAATCTCACTAAAGTATGTTAAAGTTGTGATCATTTATCTTGCAATTGGAACATAGTTTTGCCATTTCTGAGGCCCTCATTCCAGTGGTTCTAATCCTTTGCTGGGTATTATAAGAATAAAAAATAAAAAAGAATAGAAAGTTGAAATGTATACATTATAAACTATACAGCACGAGCTTTTCTTTTTTTCTTTTTTTTTAATTAATCCATGGTAATTTTCATTGCTTATTAATATATTACTGTGTTGGGGGAGCCTGGGTAACAGAGTAAATTGGTTTGGGGAAAGTTTTGGAAAATGCACTTTAACCCAAATGAAAAATACTTTACTGCTGAAAATTCAAATATGTGGCCTGTCAATCAACAAGTATTTTATATATAGGAGCCTTCTCATTTTTTATCTCCCAGTAAAGTTAACCGTGATATTTAGGTATCATTCATATTATGTACATATAATTTCACATACATATTATGTAGCAGCAGGTATTTTTGTATGATTTTAATTTGCATCACAAACACCTTACACACACATGAAGTAACAGCACTAAAAATGTAGGACTAGCTTTCAGGTTTTCCTAACCTGAGATTTATGTCCTTGTATTTTGGGGGATCATGAGACCACCTCACAGAAGGTATTGGCTTGTGTTTTTTTTCTTTTTCTTTTTCTTTTTTTTTTTTTTTTTTTAAGGATTTATTTATGTATTTGAGAGACAGAGCAAGTGAGCAAGCACCAGAGGGAGAGGGAGGAGGAGAAGCAGACTCCTCACTGAGCAAGGAGCCCGATGCAGGGCTGGATCCCAGGACCTGGAGATCATGACCGGAGTGGAAGGCAGTCGCTTAACTGACTGATCTTGAGTTCAACCAGATTAGCACAAGCTTTTCTGAAAGTCCCTATAGTATTACAAGTTTCTATAGTATTGTACACTTACCCTCCTCTACCTAAGTTCTTCTCTTAAATGCAAGGTAAAATACTTTCTAAATGGATGGATTTTGAAGAATAATAATATCAAAGGATTTGGAAAATAGCAACACAGGGTCAAAATGTTACGACCTTAGACTTACATAGAAGTGTATGTAAGAAAGAAAAGGTCTTAAAGAGGTCTAAATTTTTCATTTGGATTTTTAAGGTAATCATCAACCTCAATTTTTAATTTTTTTCCTAATGTCTTTCAGATTTGGAGTCTATCTACCTTTAGTCTTCTCCACACTTTTATCAATGAACATGCCCGGCAGTCCATTTTCAGAAATATTGGAACTGGAGTGATGCAAATTGAGACAGGACCAGCAAATCACATTTTTTCATGTGGAGCTGATGGAACAATGAAAATGAGGATACTGCCGGATCAGTTTAGCCCATTAAATGAAGTATTGAGAAATGATGTGAAATTTATGCTATAACATTTTGACAATAAGATGTATAATTTATTCCCTATTCCATGGAAGTGGCCAACACATACAATGTACAGTGATCACTGTCTCTGCCACAGATAAGCTAATGCTTTCTTGTTTTCATATTTATTTTACAGAGCTTTGCCCTTGATGCACTGATGCCTTAAAAATTAACAAGGTCATTCAGAATTAGACTATATTGCCTAAAATAAAATGTATAAGTAATACTGTAATAATACATATTTATAGTATGTTATAGTGAGTATGTCATAGTGTTAAAGGAGTTTTGTGTTCTGATTGTTGATAAACTCTTCTGCAGATGTCTCTGTATGAATTTAACAGTAAAAATACCCTTTATGTAAAGGCAGTTGACATCAGTCATCACTTAATTCACCATGCCCTTACTTCTTTTTTCAAACTAATACATCTCAAACTCTTCTTCTGTTAATGATAGATTGATAATTGGGCAAGAATAAAAAACATAATGAACATCTTCATTAAAAACTGTCATTGGGACTTCAGTGATATATGACCCAAGATATATAAAGTTCCCTGTTTCCTGCCTGAAGCCCAAGTGTGTTTGTATATATGTAATATATCTTACACATCTTATTTGGACTTAGTTTGTGTATATATCAGAGGAAATTACAAGTCTTTTCATGTGTTTTTGTGCCATAACAACTACTGCCACTAGAATAGCGACCTTTTTTGCAGCTGTCTTTTTCCATGTTTTTTTGTTTTTAGTTTTTTAATTCCCATCCTAATTTTCAAATAATTTCAGGAAGACATCCAAGATTATAATTTTAAAGATTATCTTGAGTCAGTTAAGTCTTAGCAGGCAATAATGATTCTTTGTTGGCATATATGAGACACTTAAAAGTAAGTTTATAAAATTGTCAAAGGATTTTAGAGCAGCAAACATTTTACTTCATCTTTCTTTCTTTTCTTTTTTTTTTTTGTTAGGTGCTTTTAGTCTCAAAGTTCTGAATACCTTATAGCAGTGTTTTTAGAAACAAATGTGAAAACAGTAAAATTAAATAGATAATATTTACAAATGTAAAATAACCTGCCAGATCTACCATTAATAGAAAATAAACTAAACCTTATATTTTATTATTTTTTTGCCAAAATACATTATTTTACTATAAAATATGACCAAAATATTAAAAATGCACAATGCTTTTAACTTAAATGTGCTAATAACCCTATTTCTGTCTGTTTTGTGCTACCTTTTCTGATTAAAAATTATAGACAACTTGATAAATACTTGATCTTAGCCAAGGAGACCGGAGGCAGATGGGACTAAGTGTTTAAGGGACAATTATATACTATGTAGCTTAAATATATTTTGTTAATAGGAATTATAAAAACATTTTTATGTAACAAAATATGAACAACTATTATCTTGGAAATTAAAGAGTCAAAGCAAAGAAATGAAGGGCTGGTAAAATGAATTTTGTAATATCCTCAGGATACTTTTATCTTAAAAGTATATTGTTAAAGATTTTGTAAATTGTATTCATAATTTTAAATGTGTTAAGCTAGTTGCAGTGAAAACACTGTCGTTGATTATGTAGAGAGTTTATGTGCACATAATAACCTGTATCTATAACCGTGCAATAACAGTAACAGTATGTGACTGTTTGGCTGCAGAGAGATCTGTGGCGGCATTGCAAACGATCCTGCGGTGTGCTGTAGTTCAGCTTAAGTTATTTTTCAGTAACTGCACAAATCAAGATTCAAAAGGCTTTAAACACTTTCAATGAGACAGAAAATTTATTATGCTTATTATTAGAAAAAAGGCATTGTGGATGAACAATTAAGCATTTTAATTGAGGGTTTATATGAGTAATAAATTATGTAAGCCCATATGTATTTACATCAGAGTCATAATATTTTAAATAAACAATCATGCAGTGACTTTTTTTAGCATGCTATTGTTTTAAGTAATATTATGCAACTTTAGTTGACTTAAAGGATATGTGACATTTTAAAGTAGAGAACTTCTGTATTTATATTTGGTAAATATAGAAAGGATTGAGTAGTTTTCCTGAACACCTTATTCTTCCTTTTCTATTATCTTTTTAACTTAATATATAAACATTATTCAAAAAAGGTAAGAATAAAAAGTTGAAATGTATATTTAAATATAAAGTGGTGTACATACATGTAAAATTTTATCCACATTAATGGAATGGGTACATCAAAATACATACGTTTTTTAAATTGTGCATTTTCTGAGAATGTGGCTTTGTAATGACAGAAAAGTTTACAACATTGCAAGTCTCATTTTCTGAAGTGAAGGATTTTTCTTTTTTTTTTTTTTTTTTTTTTTTTTTTTTTTATTTGACAGAGAGAGATCACAAGCAGTCAGAGAGGCAGGCAGAGAGAGGAGGAAGCAGGCTCCCCGCCAAGCAGAGAGCCCGACGCGGGGCTCAATCCCAGGACCCTGAGACCACGACCCGAGCCGAAGGCAGCGGCTTAACCCACTGAGCCACCCAGGCGCCCCTGAAGTGAAGGATTTTTCTAATGTAGAATCATGAGACAGTCAAGTCCATCCCCCTTTCTTGTTCTCTTTACTTTATCCAAATTTATTTCTCCTTTTTTAAAAAATTACTTAAGAAATTGCAAGAATTTCTCACACTGGTCTCAACAGTCAGAGTACAATACAAAGATGTCCACTATAAGAAAATCCTTATACAATTTTAAAGTGGTGATGATCTTTTTAACAGGGTTGGAAAGCCAGATCTATTTCACTAAACAAAAAGATGTAATGGCATGAAAGGGGACCATCGTCAAAGTTAAAAGAACAGGTAGACTATAAGAACTATTTGTATAGTAATAGGAAAATTATTAATGTCCATATATGTAAAGAGAACTTTGAAGTTGTTGGAGAAATCAATTCATAGAACAGGACATTGAAAAAGTCAGAAAGTATAAAGTATGCTCCTCCTAATGGTTAAAGGAATGTTAAAAAAAGAAAAAAAGCAACAATGTGATACCGCTTGTCATCTGTCAGATTGGTATAAAGTCAAGGAACAACATCAGTTTGCTAGAGCTGGAAGGAAACAGGCACCCTGAAACACTGCCGGTAGGAGTAAGTTGCCACAGAGTCACCTAGATACATGTCAAGTTTGAATATATGTACTTTCACTAAGTAGTCTTACTTTTGAGAAATTATCCTATAAAGATAAAAGCACCTATGCACATAAATATGTGTACATAGATGTTTATTGAGCTATCTGGAGGGGGAAAAAAAAACTAGAAATCTAAATGTTAATTGGTTGGTAAATGGTTAAATAAATTGTCAAACATCCCTGAAATTGAATATTCTCTCAGCACTAAAAGAATGCCAGATTTGTATCTGTTGATCCGAAAATAGGTTAGTGAGAAAGATTTCTAAGTTAAAGGTAAATATCCCATATATTATTTCAGGTTTTTCAGTCCTATATGTATATACAGACAAAGAAATATGTATGGAGGATACACAAAACTATAACTTGGGAAAAGGGAAGAATGAACTAATACTTTTCCAAACTCCTTTATTTTTTATTATTTTTTTAAAGATTTTATTTATTTATTTGACACAGAGAGAGAGAGAGAGAGAGCACAAGTAGGCAGAGAGAGGGGGAAGCAGGCTCCCCGCCGAGCAGAGAGCCTGATTCGGGGCTGGATCCAGGACCCTGAGATCATGATCTGAGCTGAAGGCAGAGGCTTAAACCACTGAGCCACCCAGGTGCTCCTTCCAAACTCTAAACCCCACTGAGTAACAGGATACCAAAGAGAGATCTGTATCTTTAAACCACATAGTACTTAATGACTGAGAGCTGCTCTGTTGAATGAAGCAGACGTGTCAAGAATACTCTTTGGATTGAGCTATTTTGTTGCTTGATATTTATTTAAGTAGAAAGGTTAAAATGTTGCCCTTTGGACTACTTGGGAAAAGTTGAACATACATTACTTAAATGTCTTCTAGAGGTGTGTATCTTTTGCTATAGTCTGTATTTCAGTGTTTCATGACATGTCCCCCTGCTGCCTGCTTGTTTGTATATGAGGCCAGTAATTGAAGGAGCTCATGCAGTCAGAGTATCACATGATTTCACAAGGCTCCTGGGAGTAAGAAATTATTTCTTAGGTTCTCCCACCGCAAATATAGATAGGTGACAGAAATCATTTGTGTGACAATCCATTTCTTTCCACAGTAGAGATGTTTTACCCCTGCACAACTGTCCACCCTGTGTAGGTCTGACCTGTGTGACAGAATTTAAGCAATACAGTACATCAGCTCCAGATAAGTGTTGAATCATTTTATAATCTACATCCCTCCCCACATACACAGGACTCCCCAGAACTCCAGTATTTTCATCCTGTTAATTGCTTCCAGGTGAGGCTTGAGCACCCATTATCAAAATCAGGTCCAAGTGTATATTTGGTTCCTTGGGTGAGGTTCCTTGTGTTGAGTACTTCTCAGTCTAAAGACCTATGAACTAAGGGGACAAGTTATGTGCCTTGCACACACCAAACACACAGTTGTGAGACAGAGATACATGACTATCTCCCACTCTAAAAGAGGGCAAATGGGAGTCATACAGTAGTACCTGGTCCATAGAAATTCTGAAGTTTAGCTGAGAAGTCACCAGTCCCTTGAGTAATCCTCAAATTAATTCTCCACAACTCTTGGCTCCATCCTTGGGCTGTTTTTTCTTTCAAACTCTGAGTGAGCTTTTTTCTGTAAAAGTGGCCCATGGTTTTTTTTTTTGTTTTGTTTTGTTTTGTTTTTGTGGCCCATGTTTTTAACTGATAAGAGTATCAGCCTGTTTCTTGGCAAGAGTTGTTTCAGGGTACAGAGTCCTCTTTTCATTTTGTGCTATCCCTATTCCTTATAGTTCAGTCCAGTAAAATTGCTTTAAAAACTTGCTGTGTTTCTCCTGTATTAACTTCACTTAATCCACTAAGAAAAAAGCTACACTCATACATTTTTTTCTGACATGGGCTCTCAATAACCTTGAGCTACCCCAAGGTTGTTGTGGTATACCATATTAAGATTCTTAGAAATTCTAATATCTCTTAAAAAGGGTCTGCATGGCACACCCTTAAATTTTTCTGAGATGTCAACAAAAGGACAACACAACATTGGCCATGTCTCTTATTAGAAGACACTATATAATCACTACAATTTTGGATAATTTAAAAAAATATATCTATGAGGCCATTGTTAGGAAGACACAGACTCATGTATGCTCACACACACACACACACATGCACACACGCACGTAACCTACACATAGAAGGAGCTAGTCCAACAACTCTACTCTGAAGACTGGTAATTGGAGAGAAAAGGGAGAGGCTGTTACAGGAAAAAAAGAGCCCACCAGGTGAGGGTGCCATGCTGGGATCCTTCCTGGTTTAAAAGTGCAGGGTTGCCAACTTGGATTAGCATTTCATGGGTAAGTACACAGGAGAACTCCAGGGGCTTTAGACCGTATTTGTAGAAAAACATATTTTCAAAGCAGAATTACACAAAGACAAGACAAAACAAAACTAAGCTTTGTAGTATTTGGGATAGGCTCAAGTGAGATTTGAGATAGTCAAAAAGAAGAAAATAAAGAAGCCACATAGACAAGGAGTCCAGTGGGCAACCATGGAAGAATAACTGGGGGCAGCACTTTAATTTCTATAGCTCAAAGGTTGAACACCTGGAAACATGGAGACAACTCATTTTCATTGGGGGTGGTGGTGGTTGACAGAATTGTCTAAGATTGTGGATAAAGTCACCCTTTGATGGAGGCAATAGTTCTAGCAAGCTTTCTTCTGAAGAGGTGTGTTTTAGTGACGGTTATCATAGAAGGTAAGTAATTCTGAATAAAGAGTTAAAAATACTCTGTGGTGAAGGTATAATCACCAGTGACCTGTACTAGCTGTCGGGGGGGGGGGGTCTATGTAAGTCATAGGAAAGATTATTGATCCCTAAATTTTTATTCTATCCTTGAGTTTCTGGTTTGCCTGACATTGAACAATTCTCCTACCTGACCTAATCTTCACCTTTATTTGGAAAAAT